GAGAATCTGGTAGGTCAATTTCATGGACTGTGAAAGACAATAAGAGAATGGAATGATGGTTCCAATGAAGATGTCATCGAGATAGTTCAATAATGAAGGAGATTTTGAGACCCATTGCAAGAGTGAGAATCGCTCGCTGCAATATCATCTTGGTGAGGCTCAAAGAACCAAGAATGAAGATTGCGAAATGAAAGGCATCCGATGTCAGAAACCATCCGTCGAATTTGCTAGAGCGGGAATGATGCATGTGACAAGTAATGTCATGCAATGCAATGTTGTGATTCTGAGTGGCTACTACTGGAAGTGATTTAATAAAATGAAAAAGAATACTACCGTGGTAGGTCCAATGCGGAAGACTTTTCTATTTGACCACAATAGCAACGGACTCCATCAAATGATTCAAGTGGACTCGTAACATGGAAGCGTACCCGTAATATTGATGTTGAGCTGGTGCAACATGCTTGCTAATGAAGAGCTCCCAAGAACAATACGAGGCCACCACAGCATTTGGTTAGAAGGTATTCGAGAACGCAATCCTGTCATTTTTTGTAATTCTCTTCCGTGGTTCACAGTCCTTTTGTCTTGCGGTTCTTGAGACTCTGCAATGAGGACATGGTATCCCCAGCTACTTTTTGATTGGCCTGATAGGTGGCAGACCCTGCGGCACCCAATGCATTCGAAATCGATCGTTCTTGAATGCCACCGTTAATGGCAGTTTGAAAGAAATCAGACGATCCCTTACAAAATGGCTTGGCATCGTTCATCATCATGGTACTCATAAACTCAATACCATACTGGACATCGACAAGGCAATAACTCAATAATTTCGGCGAGGAAGGTTGCTTTGCAAAGTAGTCGGCACCACCAAACTCTTGAATGATCCATTCAGCGGTTTCCAGAATCATTCCAGTATCAAGTCTCAGTAACTGTGGACATTGCTTCAGAAATATTGTCTCGTCGTCAATAGATATTCCCAGTTCTATCAACGCCTCTTTTGTTGCTTGCCATTGTTTCCCAGATGCCCATTCTTCATTGGATGCGTCATCGCTGCTAGTAGCGGTACCGGTAGTAGCTGAATCATCGGGAGATGCATCTCTAGACGATAAGTCAAGTACCGGACGACTGCTCGATTCTTGCAGCTTTTCCCACACCAGTTTGACCGACGCTGCTTCTATATCGTATCCACTATTTTCATTAGCATTGTTGGAATTCGCCAAAATTCCAAAGAAATTTCGGACTTGTGATGAAGGATGATGTTGCTTATTGATTGGACTGTTGCAGACGAAGGCTTGCACAAAGCACGCCTGAGAAAAGTGAAAGGCATTCGAAAGAATGCTCAAAGTGCAATGATACAGTGAAATCGAAACAATGATACGGAGCAGTTTCATGGTTTGTTGTTTACTAGGTCCTTCGAATGCAACGGGTTCAGTGTTCAGTGAATGCCAGTATTTATTTATTTTTGTACCCGAAGAAATTGAAAATAGCGTCGGACAAGGCGCAATCATAAGCGCAATCAAATTAATTCAACGTTGCAGTTGAGGTCACATTTTCTGAATTTTCGTTCAATAAAAGTCGAGTTGAAGTAGAGAATGATGTCACTTTCTTAGTTGAGGTTGCATTTGAAAACTGTTGACACGTTTATTATTATTTTAAATCAAAGTAAGGACGGTACAACTTGCTTTTCTTCGCCGGGTTTGCATTCCAGCAACTGTTCTTGAGTGCATTGGTATTCTAGAGTTGGATATACAAAATCTTGATACGGTTCATAGCCAAAGTGCTCCAGACCCTGGGCTCCCTCTTGATGCAAATATTTGGAAAGGTCTGGCTTATTTTCCAATAGTCCCTGCCATTTCCCATATCTCTTTTCCAGAACAGTCCTATCGACATATCCTTCTCCGCCTTCCTCTCCTCCTTGTCCTCTTGCAAAGGCATGCTGGACCCCATCATCTTCCAACATGTGCAATCGCTTGATGAGATCCTTCATAATATCTTTGACGACCTTGTCTGATGGACGGTCATAAGAACTGTCCGTTTCAATCTCGTTCCTTCGCGAGAACAAAGCCATGCGTGCATGTTGCAAGTTTCGTGCTTGATCCAAAATCGCATTCCCCGTCCTGGTGTAGAAAACATTTTGCTGCTCGGCATCAACTGATCGATTCCGTGTCGTAAACTTTTGTTTCCATTCCTTGTAATCTGCGTCAAGTTTGCCGCGAGCCACCTTTACTAGTTCTTCCAAATGTTTCACCACCATGTTGCCCTGCTTTTCTTCAATGTATCGCTTGAAGAGAGGAACTCCCTGATTCATCAAATCATCCAACGTGTACGAGTCCGACCCTGCATCCTCTATAGCTCTTCGCGGATCTCTTTGTCGTTCTCGTTTTAATGCTCTTTCTGATTCTTTGACCCAATCGATAAGGTTCAACACAGGCTTGGTATCACCAGTTACATCGCCTCCGTCGTTGCCCTGGAATCCACCCCAATTGTGACCACGACCCCTCGGAGGTTTACGAAGATGACGATGTGGATGCAATGGACCATGATTCTTGGCAGTATCCGCAAAATGTACCGACTCGCCCAAGTCCTTGTCCTTTTCATGGCTTTGACAGCATAGGTTCTCCAACGGCATGGAAGAATCGACAAATTGATGTAGCGCTTGCATGACGTCCCATTTACTATGTACCAAATCTTCTGACCGGACCAACAAATACTTCTTGTTGTAGTTCAATTGTTCGCTGGGCAGTTGGTCATGATTCGGATGCCCTGGTGGGTGATGATTGTTCCAAACTTGTACATTCCAGTTGTTCCATAATTGCATAGCTCGAACATTGTACAAATCGTCCTTCCATTGGTCCATCCGTTGTACATAATCATTGGGGAAGGTGGCATTGAAAAACTTCTGTGCCGGGGACTGATTCTGGGAAAGGCTGACATCCCTTCCATCCCGAACGACGTGCAAGAAGGCTACCGGGAATTTCAATTCGTACTCAAAGACATGTTGCAAGACGGGCAAAACCAGCATACTAGCAGGTGCCTTGATGGCAAAGTGAATCCTTTGAGCCTTGATCGGTATGGAAATGGACCCACCATGGTTCTTGTCCTGTTTTTCTGCGTGTGCTCTTCGAATTTTCATATTCTCATACACCAACTTCAAATGCTTCAGAAACCGACCGACTTCGTGCTTGAGTACTTTTTTTGCGTCTGGTGACAAGTCGTCCCACGTATAATCTAAAGATCCTTTCGTTTGCTCCATGACATACTTGACGAATCCTGGCCAGCCAGTTCGGCCAAACAATTGACTGGCCTCAATATCCATCGTATGCTTGTCGTCGACCAATAGAACGACTCCCAGCTGTTGCAACGCCCAACAAAAAGCACGAGTACCAGATCCATCGCTTCCTCCAATTACCAAAATTGAAAATGGAGCTTCCTCCAGACCATTATTTCCATCAAAGGCTCGTTCCTTCGACACCATGACCTCGTCATCTGATGATCCGAGAAAGATCCTCGCGGCAATGATCCAACCCAGCCACGCCGCAGACAAAAATACCAATATGAAAACTATTATTCTTGTCAAGGAAATGGTAGATTCTTGTCCTATTTTTCGCTTTCGTCGCAGTCTCTTTGTAGATGGATGATTAGGCTTGGTATGATTGCCATTCATTAGTATTGTTGTGGATGAAGCACGATTGGTGATTGGTACACTGGTGGTACCTGATAAGGACGCGGATGCTGCTGACGGGGGCAATGGCATTCCATTCACGACATTTGTTTCAGATGCCATGATGGAACTGTGTAGAGTATTATTATTCTCCGTGCTCGTGGATGCGCTACTGCCATCGCTCTGCTGAATTCGTTTGGTGGCCGTTCGACGAGCTCTTGGGCCATTGGACATCATTTTTATTGTTGCTGATCGTCTTTCAGGCAAGAAACTGACACCAACGGTAGATATTGTTTGTCCTTTAGTGCTCTTCCAACGAATCTACCGGTATAGTGCTAAAAGGAAGAGCTTGTTATGTTGTGGCCTTGCACTATAGCTATCTGCGTTGTATAATTGTGACAGCGCACACAAATTTTATTTATTTCAGCATTTTCTCACCTTCCGAATTCTACGACTCCTTTTCGTTTCGACTCGTGCGACCAGCCGGACGATCTACAAACCAAAAAGTTCAAGCACGCACGACGTCAGGATGAAAGATCCACCAAACACCACATGCCATCACATCATAGCTTTACATCGGCAACCAACTTGCTTATTCTCATCTTTCAGTCTAGTCTCGGACCAGAAAACTGTCTACTACACTTCACTTATTAGCACTGTGACGCATTGAGCCTTCCAGAAGTACCAGGTATAGCAAGACCAGAAGCACACGACCAAACAATCAATTCCAATATCCATCCTCAACAGTTCAACATCACACAAATAAATATACGACAATGTGGCAATCTTCATTATTTATCCTATTGATCGCATCAACAGCATGCGCATTTGTGCCCCAATCTCCATCTCCCTTGGTCCAAACGACAACCGAGCTTTCCGCAAAATCACAAAAACAACAACACTCTTTCGAACACGCTCTGGCATCCTCCTTTTTGGCCGCTTCTTTGACAGTAGCAGCCTCCAATCCACTTCCAGCACAAGCGTATTCATCATCCGACTATGCGAGTGACACAGTCCAAGATGTCGTAACTACCTTGAAACAAAACAGAGGCAATATGGACGGTACTTTCCAAGCGTATGAATCGATTGCCGAAATCATTACCCAAGGAAAGGGTATCGGAGGAATGGTCAACTACAGTAAGTTCACACTTTCTTATGTATATATTGCCTGTTAATTTGTCATTGCGTGCGTTTGTCCTTTTTTCCTCATTTGGTGTACTCTTCTTTTGCGAACCTACCATTTCGTTTGAATGCAACAACAACGCACATCGTACCTTTTACTACTACACATACTACTACTACACATACTACTACTATCAGAGGGTGTCGCATTGGAGCGTGGATATGTTGCCGATGAAGATACTTCCGTTTACAATCCAGGATTGACCCTCTTGACCGAGTCGGAAAAGGAACGATTGGTCGAAGCGGTTGTGGATGCCCGAAAGGAGGGTCTCCAACAGGGAAAGTGGGACCAGAATATTGAACAAGCCTACAATGAAGTCAAGGGCAAGCTTGACCCATTTCACACTTACGAACTCAAGGGATTCCTAGGGTTTGTCCCCTATTACGGGGCTATTTTGTATTTGGTAGTCTTTGGTGTGCAGCAGTTCGCTCGGGGGCTTTTTCCAGTGGCCTATGGAATGGGTGTCTTGGCCTTTTTCGGACCCATCATTGCAATCATTGCGGCTGGGCCACAATAGACAATACGATTTGTAGTAAACGCTACATATTATATCGTTCATTCTTTTTAAACTAGTTTCGCTGCAATAGCGCCGGACCTTCAGGTGTAACATATCATCATCATTATTCAAATCAATGTTTACTCGTACACACATAACACAACATATTACACACAAAAAACATCATAACTTCGATATCATATTGTGGAAGAGATGCCACTGTCGTCGTCTTCGTCATCTGATGCACCAGCCGACTGGATAGAAAACAGGTCATTTGGTGATGGATATGGCGGAGCCGTCAGTGGATCGATGCCGTGAAGGCGGACTCCCACCAGCATTTGTTCCGGCAACTCATCCTCTCCATTCCCCTGAACCACGAAACCCAAGTCCAGGGTCAAGACTTGGGTGTAGGACCTCACACAAGACAATATCCCACGCGCCGCGGAGGAAGCAACAATGTCAAAATCAGCTTCGAGATACAATGCTTTGTCACCCTCTGCCTTTTGATAGTAGTAGCTGACGGGCATTTTGTTTCCTATTCATCGCGTAATGGACACAGAGGAATCAAAGAAAGATGGTCAGCAGCGGTTGTTACGATGGCATTCGAGAAGTCCATCGCAGAGTTTTGAGTTCAAACTACTACTCACCAATGATAGCCGGTTTTCCTCCTACGACCGACTTGACCACCCACGGACCTTCCACCACGCTTGGGACAATCTTGAGTGTAGTATTCTTGTGATTGACCGATCCTTGGAGAAACCTTGCAACACATCGATCCGAGGCACTAAAATCATCCATGGATGGTAGAGCAGACTCGTCAAAATCAGGATCATGACCTGCCAGCACAAAGGGAACAAATCGTTCGGGAATCTCAAAATATGCCAGCAAAACCCCCCAAGGAAGCCGAAAGTTGAGAAGGAATGTTGGTACTTTGCGAAGTTCGCCGCCCAAGATCCTTGGATTGCTATCAATTATGGGGAGCGTAGGAAGCTTAGAGTGAGTAAAACCTGATATTCAGTGCAACTTGTTCCATTCAATCTACCAGTACTTACGTTCCGGCATTTTGCGGACATGCATCAGTCAGAAAAAGATCAACCGCCCGTATCGGAAACAAGAATGGTTCCGATGATATCTTCTTTCGGTCCTCCAAGTATTTTGCTCCACGAACCTGAAACTCGGTGTGCACAGGTTCCGACCAACAATTTAGTTTGGATCCCAGCTCGGCCCCATCCGGAAATTTAGGAAGTGGCGGTTGAATAGAGACAAGCATCGCATTGCTGTCCGCCTCTTCTTCTCGTATTGACTGGATCTGCTGCTCCGAAGTGAAACTATGATGCCTTGAATTATTATCTGGTGTTGACACCATCGCCATTCGTAGCAACGTCCGCCCGCTTCGCTCGGGTCCTCGCCGTAGCTGTGGTCGAACCTTCACCGCGGAAGATGGCTTGTTGGATTTGTCAACACCACTAACAAGTGGTCTTGGTGTATGCAATCCGATGCAAAATGCTGCCCATGTCAGAAGCAATAGTATATCCAAATCCATGGAGACAGTGAATGTTGTTGCCTTCTTGACCATGTGTGCTGCTGCCATTCCAATCAACAGGAAGACAAAAGGATTGGTGTCCAATAAGTCACCAATTCTACTTCCTGTGGAACTATAATTTGAGACAGGATGTGAATATGACGGCACCATTTCGACCGGTGCACGGTCGTCGTCCACGAGTAAATTTGCCTCAGTGCCCACTTGCTTCAACTCATCTTCGTCCAGCGCCCGAACCTCCAATCTCCGCCGTGATTTTCGAGTATAGGGAACAACTGGAGATCTCAGTGTATGTGCAGTGGAAGTGATTGTGACATTCATTGGTGACTGAGCATCGCCATTCCTTGGAGTTTCGTCTCCAATAATGGAACTCTTCAGAAAGTCACCAACTGCAATCACATTGCCGACAGCACCTCCAACGACACCCCCAACAGCGTTACCTACTCCATGAATAATTTTCGCTGGAGAGTCAAAGGTAAATTGATTTTCAGACGTCTTGGATTCTTCCACACTTGGCGTGGCTACAGGTGACGAAGGAGGACCGTGGTATGACGATTCCTCCATGCAATGGTCTGACAAGAAAAAAGTTTGTATCGTATTCGCAATCTCTGCATGAAATTCATCATTCAAGTTTTCAGGAAAGAAATTGAGCGTAGCAGCTAATACCTGATCGATGAGTAGACTTCGTTTCTTTGCAAGTCCTCTCACATAACCGTAGTTGACCTTCACGCAAAAAGCATGATGTCAATTTAGCATCACAAATTTTGAAATTGATCGTCTTCTGTTCTGTAGCCAACTTACCTTGCCAAGATAGGTTACTCGTTGTGTCTCCACCAAATGAATCACCGTTTCACAGTACTGGACAAGCCTGCAATCTGACGTTGACAAATTCTCCTTGTTCGCAACGAAAGCAGCAGCACTCTTGAGTTGGTGTCCAAAACTTCGGAAGGCACTGTATGTCTTGGACAAGTTGAAAGATTCAAACTGTGGTCCTCGGAACGGGTCTTTGGTAGGAGTTACTCGAATGATGTAATCCGTTTCCACTGCCAGACCGCCACCGATGCGATAATAGTCCACGTCAATAATTTGTGCCTGAACTCTCTTCTCCAGCAATGCTTTCAGCAGTGGCGAATCAAAGTTGGAATCATCCATCTGCGTCATTGTCATGTACTCGGTGATCTCAATGCCATTAATTTAGAATAAAGACGAGGCTGTTGCAATACCGGTAGGTCGTGTCAAGAAGACAGTTAAACACGCAGTTGATGATGAAGATGATGATGACAGTCCCAGAATTTTATAAAATAATTAGAAGAGCGTGACAATTTTCCGAAGGATCGAAGGTTCTGGCGTCACGCAGTCGACTCCCTCGACCGTTATGAGTCAGATACCTGTGCGATGGCGTATTTTAATACTTGTACTGTATTTCATTTGAAGAGGATCCCATTGGAGCCTGACGATCAGAGTAGGATCAAAGATTGTACTCGGGGTACTGTAGCTTTATATCAAAAAATTTCAAAATTATAGTTTAACAGTACTTTAGAGACGACGGTCTCTCTTCTTGTTGCTCGAAAGGATTCTATAGCAGCTGCTGCGGAAAAGCATCAATCTTCATGTCACTGTGCGGGTCCTTGCTCGATTTCTTTGACACCAATTTGATGACGTTATTGTCTTCCCAACCGCTCTCTCGCGTCTCTCAAAGAGTGGGAGATCCGTATGATTAAATGTGAACCACTAAAGATTGTGGCTGCGAAAGAAAAGCTTCTCACTCAGCAACCAAAACTTTGGCAGGTCTTCTTCCACCACGGCGTACGGGTCGTCGAGTCGAACGAGGTTTCCAATCCTTTTCTTGTTGTTCCCTAATATTGGTGGCTAGTGACTTTCCTGTAGACTTTGGAGCATTACCTGTTGAGATTTCGGTACGCTCGGATATTTCTAGATGATCCACAAGGGGCACTTCTTCATTGTGGTGCTCACATGGTCCAGCAGGGGTTTCGTCAAAATCCTCTCCCATGAAGGAAGCTTCATCATCACCAAAGAGAGAAACATCACATTGGTCGTCCTCATCTAGACTAAGAGTAAATGATGTGACGCTGGAATCATTATCTAGTGCACGTAAGTCCTCGTGACAAGAAACCGATAGGGCAAAAGAACCGGGCAATATGTTCTTGATGTTATTGGTAGAGGTCATGTTTGCTGTACAGTATAGGTTTCCCTTTTTTGTGATTGTGTAAAAGGACAGCGATACAGAAAAACCTTGCAAAAAACTTCCGGAACCATTCGCGAGAAACAGAAATTATCCGAGCTGAAGAATGGGGAAAGGTTCTCTTCACTCTTGGTTTAGATAAGTGCTCAAATCGTGTCCATAAGTATCCGCTCGTAGGGAAGTCGTAGAACGATATATTCGAAGGTGGCGAATATATTCTGCTGACACTTTTTGGGAAGAGACATCGAGCATTTTCATCGCTTCCCTGTTCCTTCGGAGCTCAATTGGCTCCACCTTGAGTACAGCTACACGATCAGTACGTGTACCGGATACGACGCTCACGCACACCGTGGAACGGCAGTTTCGAACTTTTATCTTTCGGCATCTTTGAGGTTCATTCTGCTAAGACGAGTGAGAGTCACAGATGAGGTCCTTCTTCAAGGTACCTGGTACAAGGGTACTTGAGGTACCAGGTACCCGCGATTGGGAAAATTGAAAATGCCGGGTCAATATGGATCACTAAAAGCCAAGAAAGACACATTAGAAGTCATCACTTAACTTCTTCCTGCGAAGATTGATGACTGTGATCATTCACAGACATTCTCCTAGGTACCCGCGATTCTGAGAATACCAGGTCAATCTTTGTCACTAATCATCCAAGTAAACCGTCCGCTTTCGTAACCTCGTTTGCTACAGTGCTGTACCGATGACGATATCCGCCTTTGCTTAGTTTAGTTTGGAACTGATCTTTTGGCACCTTTGAAGTTCATCCTGAGAAGTTTCATGACGATGATGATTCGGAACTGAGATTGATGACTTTGATCATTCACAGACATTCTCCTTTCAAAGAAAACGAGTAGGTACTCGTACCACACGCGATTCTGAGAATTCCAGGTCAATCTTAGTCACTAATCATCCAACTGCACCGTCCGCTTTTTTGCTTCTGTACCTACCGTATGACTTGTATGACGCGATCCGCCTTTGCTTAGTTTACAGTAGATTGGAACTGATCTTTTGGCATCTTTGAGGTTCATCCTGCGAAGTTTGATGACGATGATTTCGCCGCTTCTCTCCAGATGTCCTCTTCTATGAAAAAGAGTACTATGCAATGCCCGTACCCGCGATTCTGAGGATGCCACCATCCGCTTTCGTAACCTCTTTTGCTCCGCAGATGCTCACAGTCTACCGATTGAGTGTTATCAGCACTCAAAATTGCCCTCTAGTTGAAATTTATCTACTGTACCCCACCAGTAATCCAATTAGTAGCCCAGTGACAACGCTACTTGAGTAACCACATTGGTAGGATGATAAGGGCTTGTCGTCGTCGCTCGATTGATGTACCTTTGAGGCCGTTAGAGGAGTCGTCCGCTCTAGCTTATAAGAAAGGTGCACGACCATTTGTGCTTTGAACATTGTCTGAGGCGATCTTCCCTCACTTCCAAGAAAGAAAGTTTCCTTTGCCAGTTGCCCAGCCTCCACATAGATCCGGTTATTTGGCTCGACTATCTTCAGCGGAAGCCTCATCTTTAGCGACATTTACTCCAACGTCATCACTAACTTCCACTGCACTTTGCTCAGGAATTGTTTGTTCCCTGTTTGCTACCGGTTCTCCCATCTCTTCCATTTCAATCTCTGATGATGCTTGTGGAGCGATAACATCAGAACTCTGATCACAACTAGTTTCATTGGCATTCTCCAACCGAGAGCTGTTTTCTTCTACCGCCTGCTCGCTTTGCTCTGCATTCGTGCCGCCTTCACCTGTAGCAGGTGGGTCTCGTGAGTCTCTTTCTGCTAGTCGTAGGCCCATAACACCCCGATCACTCATTGTTTGGGAAACAATTACATTTGCTGATGGAATAATTATCAGTTGTCTACCATTTTGCGATACATTTTGTCTCATGATGAAACCAGAAGGTATCAGCCCAAACGGAGATAGACCGGTGTTGTTTGGAGAAGCTTCCGCTCTCACAGGCTCCACGTCACAAAAGGTCTGTCGACAACATGGGCATTTGGGTTCCTCTTTCTTTGTCAGCCATGGAACGATACAGTCTTGATGAAATGCATGGTGGCAAGAAGACTCTGGCGACCAAATCACTTCATCACCAGCGCGATAGGTATCAAGACAAATTGCGCATCCTCCAGGAACTAATCGGCCTGCATTCTCTCCACCTGACGGCAGTTGGAGCACGTTCTGGTCCATCATATCACGATCGACGACTGCTCCTAGCTCCTCATCCACCTGAATTGCTGCTTCTTTCCTATCTTCGCTACACGTACCTAAATTGGTGTTCCCTGCAAGGTACTCCTTATTTTCCAGAATGTCTTTTTCTTCCACCACCTTGCAGTCATAATAATAATAATAATAATCAATGTGGTTAGCCATACAGCAGCTTCAACAACAGTAAGCCCAATGTTTAATCTCCCTTCGAAAGAGGCATGGAAATTTCTTACAAAAGAAGTAGCTTTCAAAGCTGTGGAGATCCTTGAGGTGCGTTCCGCTCGAGCTTCCTCTTCGTCCATCCCGTTGCCAATTTGGTTACCACCACCGACAGCAAATTGTCCCCCGCCAAAGAAATACCGCTGCTCAAATTCTGCTTCTTCTCGTTGTAGCTGCATTAACATTTGTCGGCGTCGATAGGCGCAACATGTTGGTAATACACAGCAAAACACCAAGAAGGAATACCATAGCAAAAAGGCAATGAACTCGACGGAATTTCGTGTTTCTTCGGTTGCCATTTCTCAGTAGTAAGTTTGTGGCCTTCCCTTTTGTTAATATATGTATCGTCTCGGTGCCTTCCAATTTCGGCAGTTTTCAGGTCCAGAAATGCTAACGATTGATGCCTCGACACCCGGTATACTATCTTAGCTATTAGACACCAGTGTTGCTCAAAAAAATTTATTTTCGGTCGCACGCCCAACTCCGCCAGCTGCCGAGAAACGACTAAGTCGGTTCCATAAAAATGTCAACCGTGGGCTTTTGTGATTCTTTTGTCACCTCGTCGTCCTGTAGTCGTACTTGAAACAGGAGACAAACAAATGATACAAACACAATCATAATACAATACTGTATTGAAAGCGATAAAAGCACAAGTAGTTGGTTAGAATGGTGGCAATATCATAGGACTATAATATCTATTATCGTTATCATCCTACATGTAGTAGTATGTTTGATAGTAAATATTATACATTATAACCTCCCTTGAACCGAATGGCACCATTCGACTTGGCCCGTCTCCGTCTTCCGCGATTTGGTAATGGTGGAAGTTCTTTGGAGACGACCAAGTTACTCTGTTGTTGTCGACTGCTCTTTTTCTTGCTTCGGCTGCTCCCACGGCTGCTAGGCGTGTAGGTATCGGAACGGGTCGGTGACACGGCATTGCTTCTGGAGGATGAGGATTGGCCACCAAAGGCATCCCTTTGTCTTGGCGCTGTGGACGACCGTCCTCCTTTTTTACGATCAATCTCAATCACTTGCAAATCATTTTGAAGAATTGTGGAATCTGCCGAAGAAGCCGAGTTCCGTCGCTTGGTTCGGTGACGAACATAAGTCGTCTTGGGTTCGCTGAATCCACTTTCTGCGGCACAACAGAATTCGGTCAATACTTCCCAGTGCTTGTCACTGGAAAAGAGTAGACTCCACACTCCATCTTGGCTGTTGCCCATGCTTGAAGAATTTCTGTCACGTCGGCTCTTGGACTTTCGTTTCTTCTTTTTCACAGTGGGTGTACCACACACCTTAGCTTTCATTTCCGCCACTTCATAGACCAGAATGTAAGCTTGTTGATCCAGCGCAGTTTCTTCATCGACTTGTGTGACAACATTATCATTGCACCTGTACCATTGTCCCAACCTCTTGACATAGGACAAGTAGTGTCCGGAATCGCAAGTTTGCCCTTGATGCACCAAGATTCCCACTAAATCATAGGGTGGTGGGGTTGCCTTATTGAGTTGGGACATGTAATCGCTGATTTCCAGCCGTTTGGGAAAGGTTATGCGTTTGTTGAGACGCAATGGTTGACCAAAGCGGTTAATGGCAAACCGCTTGAGATGGCAGACCAATATGGAAGGTGCCGTTGCCAGTCGTAGACATTTGGTAACTGGTCGTTTGACGTTACATTTCATACAAAAGACGGCATTGTCATGTTCGAGCGATTCCGCTTTGGTAAACTGATAGAGAGCGTCTTCCAGCGTGGAAGTATCTGGATCATTAATGTCTAGACTGAGATCCATATACCTATCTCTCGTTAGACTCTGATTGCCGCACCTTTGACAAATGACTGCACTTTCCAACAATCCATCAAAGAGACTAGATAGCTGTCTGTTTTGTCCATTCATCGCCAAGGTACTCAATAGCGATCGCAAGAATTCATGTGCATCTTCTTGCTGATAGGGCAAGAGACATTTGGATAATCGGTTTGGATACCTCGTGATCCTTCCAGGGTTAATGGTACCATGGATGGATTCTGCTGGTCCAAACCAAGAAGAGAACATGGATGAATGTTTCGTACTAACACTCATTTCCGAATCATCTGGTATCGTGTATTCTTGTGCAAGATGTGTCAATTCACTGGTTAACCAATCGCAGTTCTCTTGCATTTGTTTCTTCTCTCGTTCCTTTTCCGCTTGTATATCCTTTTCGGATACCGGTTTGATCTCTTCTTTTTGTATGCTCTTTACAATTTCGTCCAGAAAAAAATCATCGAGTTTCTCTTGATCGACCGTTGTAATTTCATCTTCTTCTTCATCAATCTCTTGTTCCTTCGAGTCCACACTCCCACTTCCCTTGGCCAGCAGATTTGGATTGGAGCTATAGCGACGGAATATCCGTACGACCTTTGGATCCAACAAGGCATTCGTCAAGGCGGTACTCAACAAACATTGCAAGGCAGCATTGGCGTAACAGGTATTCCCAACATTTTCCAACCCTCGTGGATATTGTTCCACAACTTGAAGTTTTTGCTGCATACTGGAAATGCTTAATTTGCTGCTGCTGTGGACTGTGCTGCTGTCGGTCATTTTATAGTCTAATGTTGTTGTTGTTGTTCTCTTTGATGTGGTGATTTCGTTGGGATCTCGATTCTCTTGAATGTGATTGTGATTGTTGTTACTCTTGTTGTTTCCAATATTTCTTCCTCCTTTAATGGCTCCAATGCTTTTTATTGTTGTTGTTGTTGTTGTTGTTGTTGTTGATGATGCTGATGTTGTTAATTCCGATGCATTCATATCCATGTACGGTACCACAACAATTCCAATGCAATTCAATTCAAAGCCACGGCAGTTTTGGGAGGAGCACGTGCTTCTAAAAACTACCAATGATGCAACTCCCAAACGCTCCTCTTTCGGATCTGATTCGATTGATTCGATAGATAGATATAACAGCTAGATAGATTGAAGATACAGAGGAAGTGTGTTGGTGTGTTGGTGTTGTTTGTTTGGATGTGCAAAGAAAAGGATAATCGTATTGGGCAGTTTTTATCACTCTTTGACCACCGTACCAAAAGAAAGAAAGCAGTAGTTTATTGTCGTCTTCCGACCATGGACTGCTCGATCCAGCACACTTTTTCAACGTCTCTTTTTTTTTTGGATTTGGGTTGGCACTTATATCAAGTGCGCGTGCCGTCGAAATTTTCAAACCCGTTTTATTAATTGCCCGTTGGCTTTATCAAGCGTGCCAGAGAGGGAACGCGAGCAGGTACACTATAGGGGTCCTTTTCAAATCACCACACACCTCATTCTACCATGAATACCCGTCTACAATGAATACCCGTCTACCATGAATACCCGTCCACCCGCCCGCCCTCGTTCGTTATTGTTATTGTTCGTTATATTCGTCCCGGTAGTGTTATTATACACTACTAATTGCACCACACACACCACAAACACACACGCAACATCTGGAGTATGCCTCCCTCCACCGCTTATAATTTCAAATGGCAAATCGGTGACGACTCCTCCAAAGTCTTGGACATTTTGCAATTGTCACCCACGAATGATGTATCCTTTGGCAGATTTGTACTCAAAGAACCTCCTCCAGAGGATGAATTGCTGTTACGAAATATATTGCAAGTATTTCAACATTGTTCCCAACATGATATCGTCTGGGATTGGTTGGATGTCACCATGGAGTCGGTGGGAATGATGAGCTTTCACTTTTTGCGGCCCCTCTTGTTTGCGGCCAATTCCATGGGGATTGTTCGACGGGTGGCCATCCAAGGGGATGCGACACCGATCAATGCTGGAGAACCGCTTCCGACTCATGAATTCTTTTTGGCGGGAAGTTTGCTGAATCCCAGACTGGAAGTTTTGGAAATTGTGGCCAATCGGGAGGGTGGATTGGTGCCAATGGGGGATTACCGTGCTTTATGCGAATTGCTGCAAACTACCAAATCTTTACGACGACTCAAGTTGGATCGAGTCACCAATTTTGAAGTAACATTGCTATGTCAGGGCTTGCAAGAGAACAAGACGCTACGAAAATTGTCCCTCTCGTTTGTACAATGCGACGTTCCGGATGCCTCCATTGCCAATGTAATACAATCCCTCAACGATCATCCAGAACTAAGGTATTTGACAATTACCTCCAGTGGGCAGTTTGGGCCGTTGTCCTCCACAGCCCTCAAGATGCTGCTTTCCTCCAAACCCTGCAAGCTCAAATCTTTATCACTCCAGGGATTCGAGTTCTTTGAGCTGGATACGACGAGTGGGACACTCAACACAGAAGATCTACTGGAAGGAATACAGGCAAATAGATCCTTGAAAAACGTATTGATTGGGGATGCCTTGGATGGGGACATGTTCTTTTCCAAGTTCTTTCAACTGCTGGGAGAGTGTCCCTGGCTGGAAACCTTGCATTTGTGGGAACCAAACATTACCAACCAAGACTTGGAATCAGTACTATCCGAACAAGTCCAAAGATTAGAACGATCGGTGGTGATTGGGTTGGGGTTTCCCGTCTTGGATACCTTGGAAAAGACTCTGACGCAAGTATTGACGAAACATCAAGAAATTCGCATGGAACACGAAGGATTCCTTGGAAATCCTTCCTTTGTCCACTTGTGTCAATGGAATTGGTATGGCAGATATCTCATGGACAAGCCAGACTTTCCCCTTTCCATGTGGCCAGTGGTATTGAAGAAGGCGAATCAAAAGCCAAATGTCATTTATGAATTCCTCAAGGGTCCTGCTTTTGCGGCCCGACAACCATATCACAGATGAGATGTAATACCGTACGGCAGTTGACATATCCTCCTGACACATACATACTGACACATACTGATATACTGTGTTGTATACTTTCTGGTGTATCATGTAGCACCAATCATAGCAACAATAATAATAAACCCTGTAGACTAAACGGTATAATCAATCACTTTCAGTCAGACAACCAGCATGTTTGCAAGCTTGACAGTTGTATCGTTCTGGGTCGTCGGAGAAATAGGCGCGGTAGACATGCCGGTGGGCCGCATTCAATCGAGCCACAAATTCTGGAAATGCCTCTTGGTACTGGGCTTCGTCTTGGGGGCCAACTTTATTGGGCCCTTTTAAATGTGAATCAATGGTTTTGGTGTCCAGATGCTCCACGGGAGTCGAATGCATAATCATGCAGGCATGCGGCAGTTGTCGAGGACCGGATGATGATGACGACGACGACGACGACGCTGATGATGGTCCCGTATTGTCAAGATACAGTCCTTCGTCGATTGGATATTTTACAGAATCGTCAAAGGAGCAGGTTTCTTTCACATCATCCCAATGCATTCTTGGTCGGCCTTGTAGTCGTTCCCGTTCCGTATCCTTCACGTTCAACAAATGATGATCCACCAACTTACACCAATACAGGTCGGGACCCCACATGGACTCAAAGTCTCCCCATCCTGGTACATTCTCTGAAAAGACCTTATATATTGTTTCCCATGCTGCCACATTGAAAACTGGCAACTGAATTTCAATCACCCAAACATCCATTGCCACTAGTCGTTGAAAGTCGTTCTTGATTTGAGGAATGTACGAGGTATTGTAGCACTGGTGTGGATGCGTCGACCCAGTGTAGAGCTTCCGTCGTTCGGTCTTGTAGCTGAGACTTGACATGATGGTAGGGGCGAAAATTGCAGGTTTGAAGGTGAGGGCAGTATCCCAGAAGCAATCCCATGCCATATTCCGCAACCGAATGTCGCCGTCCATCATCCACAGGTAGTCAATGTAATCTGGGATCAATTCTGGCTTGAGAAACCTGTGCCAAAAATTGATCTTATTCTTGCCGGGCCAGAAATGAATTTCAGTATTGAACTGCTCTTTCCATGCGGCTTCGCTGTATGTTGATAGAATGCTTTGGTAGGTCTCATTCTTGTAGCAGAATACCTTCCATTCAATGTGAAAATCCTCGGAATGCTGCATCTGTATGCTCTTGATGTCATGCACGGTATCGTCCACATCTCGCGTAGAAATTGTTTTGGCAAGAAGTAGCCGTAATCGCTTGTTTTTTAATGGGTTGCCAATCTTTTCTCCTGGACTGTTCTTAGTGTTGCTCAATGACGGATCATGAGAGTTAAGATTGCCATGATTGTCGTTATGAGTTACCAATAGGAATGACAAGCTGAAATTTACCACGGCTGCCGCAAATGGAAGGAGGAGGCACATTAATAGTTTCCTATTGTCATGTTTGTTTTTCATTTGCTATTCTGGATAAGGGAGAGGAATGGACTTTCACATCCAACCTTATTGCGTTGTCCTTACTCAATAAAATTGAAAATGAGATGAAAAGTTTTGAAAAATGCAAAAGCGCTATCGAAGTACTTCTATTGAAATTCATGAAATCATACTTTTGAGACAAATGAAGCTTTGGTATTCTCTCTATCAATATTTACTTTAGCACATTGGGATACATCTTAGCGATGATTTTGTTTGATAATCTTACCCCAGGGTCATTGCATGCCACTTTGCAGCGTATAGACTCTGTTGGGGACCCCGAGCAATCAAGTCATTGTGCGACCCAACTTCAACAATCGCTCCATCTTTCACAATGGCAATCCTGTCGGCAAATCGTCCAGTGGCCCATTTATTCGATGATATTACAGTAGCAGCACCAGTTTGGCGTAATTCTCGAATGACTTTGGCTTCGTCGACTTCAGATAAGAGCACTGTCACGTCGTCAAGCAGGAGAACGGAACCCATGAGACTGTTTTCAATCTTGTCAGTAGAAGCGAGAACGTTGTCATTATCGGCAATTGTTTGTGCGATGACTTTTGCCAACAGCAACTTGGACCACTCGGCAGGAGAAAGGAAAGTGGTGCTTGGATCGACTGCTGTTTTGCCCAAGTCTTCTTCATTTCCCGTAACAACTGTATTCATCTTGAATGGTAGTCTTCTAATGAGAGTGCCATACAGGCCCGTTATCTTGGAAAAAAGAAAATCAGTTAGGTGGTGTGCTATTGAATAGTACAATGAAACCAGCGACTGCCAAGCTTACTTTGAGCCCCAATAGGATTGCTGACTTTTCACTCGACGTGAGTGCGTGTGGAGATGATTGAACTCCGTCGACTGGCTCAAGAATTTCTTCAAGGGTCCAACCAGAGAAGATTGACGCAGTGTCTCCGAGGGTGCAAACATCCGAAAGTAGAATTCCCAGACGGCGTTTTAACGATGGCTTGTCCCACTTGGACGCGTCTAATCCACCAATAGCAACTAGCCCTCGTACTTTATTCGACGTACAAGATCGCTTGGGTGGACTGATGAGTGATTCCGCAATTGTTGTCAGTAGTCTTGTCTTACCAGAACTATCATCCCCCAGTATGGCGAGAACCTCTCCGTTTCGACACTCCAGGGTCGCACCACGCACAGCCCATGCACGTTTTGTGGTATGTGCTGCCCACAAGTCTCTCACGGCCAATCCGGCATTTGCAGATATGGACGCCGATTGCTTGAGATCGACCTGCTGTTTGTTTGAAGCAGCAATTTCTTCCATTGTCTGCGATAGGTCTGAAAGGAAAGGCTTCACATACGGGAGGGATGCCTGCAAAACTGTAGATTGCTTCAATGCGTTAGCGACCAACATGAAGACGCTGATCAAAATGACTGACACATCCAACATGGAGTCCCACTGAAGACCCGTGTGGAGGCCAGAACTCGATGAAGCCTGCTCGAAATAGAACGGAATCAGAAGTGGCGCAAAGGTAGTCAGTCCTGCCAAAACCACGTAACCCATTTGTCGAATAACCTGAGAAAGTCGAAGGTTTGATGGCAGCATAGCTGATGGTACATTCGACGATCGCCAGCGTTCCAACACATTCTCGACAGATCCGTTCTCTGAAAGCATGGTCAAGCGAGTTGCGCTGGAGGCTCCCAGTCTTGAAATTTGATCAAGACCTTCGTTTGCTATTTCCATTTCGTCTTCCTCATCGTCGATTACAGGTACTGTTTTCTTGCTTTCCGCCTTGGGGATCAAGGTCACAAGGAGCAACGCAGTAAATAGCGAAGCGTGGAAGGCCACATCTAACGGCTTATCGCAGACCTTCACCACGAAATTTGCGAACAGCGTCTCGAGGGAACGAAACGAGGTCTGCAAGATTGTCTTATGATGACTCCACAACGAATTCCAATCGATTGGCCATGACCTCCATTCTTGCAACATCACAAGACTCCATGCTGTCTTTCCGACCACCATCATTGCTGAACGGAGCACGGAAGCTGTCATGAAAACGAGCAAACCGGCAACAAAAGTTGTGAAAGAACTCAATTGTGCCTTCGATATCATCCACCTCACTTCAGATTGCGCAGCTTGGCTCAATCGAGAAAGTAGTCTAGTATCTATCGGGGTTGCTGCAACGAGGCGGAGGTACAGCTGGCCATACATCGAATCGTCTTCAACGGAAGATGCAACTTCTGATTCCAGATCACCAACTCTTGATGCTAGCACTAAATTCCTAGACAACTTCGTCAGTAGCGCATAAGCGAACCAGAAAGGTGCCCACGTTGCCGTTGAATCACGAATGATTTCAACAAAGGTAGGGATTGTGATGGACACGAAGTCCAAAAGGGACTTTGGGATCGTCAACAATTCAAACCCTTGCATTTGCTGTACACCAAGAATAAGGAACATCACTTGAACAAAGTCAAAGGCGGCATAATATCTTCCAAGTGACCGGCATTTTGTCTCGTCAGATGTGGAAAGCAGTGACGTCGTCTTTGCCCCGTCGCTTCGTGACATTAGACTATCAACTGGTGTCGTCGTGGTTTCGCCATGTCCAGTGCCAGACGGGCGCAACTGTGGCATGGGGCTATGAGAAGCCAGCTTGGAAGATGCTTTCTTCTTTAAAAATCCAAAAAGACCCCGCCTGGAATCATCATCGTCATAGTCCCATGCATCCATGTTGTATTGATAGTTTCTGTTCTTTCGATGGCGGAATAATTTTGCAGGATTCGGCAATCGCGGTAGGCGAGGGAGAGCACCCATCAGTTTCTCCTTCCAGCTAACGTCGTCTTCTCCAAATGAAGAGTTCATAACTGGCATTTGGGTTTGGCTTGGCCGAGGTGTTCCTGTTTTCGATTCCTCCCATGGAATGCGAGACTGCCGACTGTGCGGATCTGGCTTTGATTGCGATTCAGTGCTCTGTTTGTATGGAGGAGTGGCACCATATGGTGATTGTATTCCTTGCATACTTCCTTGAGTCGATTGGTTAACCCCTTTGCTCGGTGGTTGGGAGTACTGATTTTGCTGCTGTTGTCTTTGTTCTGGTTGTGCTGATGGCGCCAAAGAGCCGCTGGCTGCAAGTGGTAAGCTCGGTATTGGTTGGTTTGGTGTCTGTCCACCAGGGGCAGACGCGCCACCATTTGCTCGAAACAGCTGTTGAGACACTGCTGGTTTCGATGATTCTTTTGCTGCCGTCGTAACACCCTCATACTTCTTTCCAAGGTGAGTGAATGGAGACATGTTGTCCGATGAGGACGCCGGTGGTCGCGAAGTTTTGAAAGGCGAACCTGTCGCCCGTTTCGGGGTAGAGTGAGCGGAACTACTGGATCTTGATGGCAAACTTCTTGTCGCAAACTGAACCACATTGCTCACACTCGACGAAGATGCAGCATCCGATACAAGCTTTTGCGCTCGTTTTGAAATTTTCTCCTCCACGTTGGACAGCTCGTCCAATCCTTTTTCGACGCTCCCTAATATGGTTTTGAAGAAGGTCGAGGTGGATGGTGCGCTAGTTGAAGTTCGCAGAGGCGGCCTTCGCACATGCGTTGGAGGTACACGTGAAGGATACTGACGCTGTTGGTTGGGGGCCTGCTGTCTGTAAGAACCCTGCTGAATCTGATGTTGTTGAGAGCGATTGGGCTGCTTGGGTATGGCAGGTTTTGTTGGATGCTGATGCGTAAGTGGCATTGTAAATGCTTGTTGCTGCGGCCTTGGTTGTGGTTCAGCACTCTCAAGCCTTTGAAACGAAGTCTGACTCCTAACGAATGGAGATCCCGTACCAGCCTTGGGGGCAAGTGCTCTGGGCGGCGAATCTCCCTGCACAGTAAGCTCGGGCTCTTTTTCATTCTGAAACTCCTCTTGATTCTGGACTGTTGTGGTTTTCGGCTCTGATGATATTCGCGATGCGATGAAAGATGCCGTATCTTCTCGATCAGTATTTTCGGGATGCTTCATCGAATCACCGCTTTCAGATTGTTGGTTTTCAAGCCCTAATGTCACTTCATCAGCTTTGCTAGATGATGTTTGTTGATTCTCTTTTGGCGATTCCTTGTTCCTTTGCTCACTTGCTTCTTCAGCGGGTTCTGAAATTGCATCTATTTCAAGAATATCGTTCGGATTTGCATTGATATCTACTATCTCCGGCTTCTGCTCCTGTTCTATTACTTCGGCTTCATCTTTTTTTTGAAATTCTGAATCATTATCATCAGCAATACTAACGTCTTCTTTGAGTTTGGACTCGATTGGCTTTGGTGGGGGTGGCGGAGGAGGATATCTTTCAAGAATATCGTTCGGATTTGCATTGATATCTACTATCTCCGGCTCCTGCTCCTGTTCGATTACTTCGGCTTCCTCTTTTGTTTGCCGTTCTGAATTATTATCATCAGAAATTCTAACGTGTTCTTTGACTTTGGACTTGATTGGCTTTGGTGGTGGTGGCGGAGGAGGAGGATCTCGCCGTTGATCTTGTTGTGAATTCACCGTCTGTATTGATTGTGACGCCTGTATTGATTGCAACGACCGCGGCGGAGGTGGTGGTATTCTTGGGGGCGGTATCACATTCAATCGTTGTGGTCTAGGTGGCGGGGGTGGTATTATCTTTGTCGACACTCTAGCTGAGTTCTCTACGACTGGCTCTGAGCCTTCACCATCCTCTTGAAAGCCTTGCTTTGAAAGATTCGGCCGTAGAGGGGGTGGAGGAGGAGGGAGTTTCCTTCCGAATGAGTCTGACGATGCTACAGTGGGACTTCCAAATGCTGCGAGTGCAACGACGAAGCCTGCAGCTAAACTTCTCCGTCTCCTCTTCATGATGTTGTGAATGGTGATGGTTTGACAGTTTTTGTCAACTGAAGATCGGAACGTTTCTATTTTCGATTTCCACGTGGCAACAGCATGTTTGACTAGGAGGATTCATATTGAAATTCCAGATTCCGCTTGACTAAAATAAATATGTAGTAATTTTAAAATAGTATGCAAATATGATTGTTCTTGCTCGAACGGAAGAGCGTAAGACTCACCGGTATTCCAGTGCTTACTTTTGATTTTAACTACCACCACCATCGAACCCATTTATTTATATAAAAGATTCTTCTAGCAGCAGGTCGACTCCACAATATTCCTTTATTCGACAAAAGGTTCTCTCACTACCAAGTGCGAAATGTGGGAAACACCTGTATTCCTGATTCGCTATAAATACCAAAGGTTGTGCGCCACCAATGGCGAAATGGCTCGCAGCTGCGACATCCGTTGTGGCATCTTGCGTAGGAGTCTACCAGATTTTTACGAAAGAATCTGTTTTCCAGCATCGTTGGAAAGATTTCAACAGAGCGACGAGTTATGTGAACAGTTCACATCCGAAACTTTTAGATGATGACAGCTCCTGTTCAAGACAAAGAAAAGGTCCGAAAGGCGGGCGCAGCCTTTGCTAGCAAAGAAATCGACAAAATGTTTGCGAAATCCAAGATTGTTGACTCTTCTGTACGTGATAATACCGTTTGTTGTTGAGCGCTTTGGACAGAGTTGTCAAAGATATGGTTCTCACTTTTGATCACTTTGGACCCCAGGATACATTTCCACAGTTTTTGAAGGAAGAGATCAAATTAGGTAAGGTGCTGGGCAAAGGTGGATTCGGTACTGTCTACGAATGTCTCTCGTTCGATGCGAAAACCAAGAGTCGTAAGCAAGGCGGAGGCTTGACTACAATGTCTGCCGTTCGCAATTCCTTTTCGTTGGGCGCAAAGCAAGTTGTTGACGAAGAAGGTAAATCTCGGATTCGTTGGTTCAACTTGTGTCCTGCTCTGGCCGGTCTTTGTACTTACACGAAAATGTTTCTCCCCAGCTGACCAAGGACAGATGGAGTCTCGCAAATTCATTGCCGATCACTGCATTCGCAAGGGTGGAGACGCCCGCTATGCCCTTAAGATTCTGAGCCCTGAAGTCGTCAACGATCCAGGAGAACTAATTCAAGGAAGCATTGATATGGCAGTAGAAACCCGCGTTCTCTCCGATATTGAACATCCCAACATCATTAAGATGCGTGCATGCGGTTCCATCAGTCCATTCGAAGTTGACTATTTCATCGGTAAGGCCTACAGTATCTCTGGGCAGTGTTCAATACTTATTGTGATAAGAGGCAATCTAATTTATGTTTCACCACGCTAGTCATGGACCGATTGTACGATACTTTAGAGAGTCGCATCGCAAAGTGGGCAAATTTACAGAGCCGCATTTCCTCTGGCTTTGGAGCCTGCCTTCTTGACCGCAAAGGACTGAAGAAAAAGAAACTCTTGGAGGACAAGTTGGTGTCAGCGTTTGATCTTTCTGCGGCAATATTGTACTTGCATAAGAAGAACATTTTGTACCGTGATCTCAAGCCAGGTATGTGACATTTCGTAAAAAATAATCATCGCATGTTCCTGTTTGTTCAGTGGACAAATGCATCCTGTTTGTTTGATCCATTGATTTATTCATTTTTACAGAGAATGTTGGTTTTGACATTCGAGACGACATCAAGCTTTTCGATTTTGGTCTTGCAAAAGAGGTTTTCGCTGCAGACAAGGATGCTGATGGCTTGTACAAACTGACAGCAATGACGGGCTCTCCTCGGTACATGGCTCCCGAGGTTGCATTGGAGAAGCCTTACAGTTTTTCTTGTGATGCGTACTCTTTTGCAATCATGTTTCATCAAATTTACTCCTGCAGGACACCCTTTGAATTGTACGGAATGAAGTCTCTCAGGACCAGAGTTTGGGGTAAAGAACAAAAGCGTCCATACATCCAGCCGGATTGGCCAGTTTCGATCAAGAACCTCTTGGAAAAATCCTGGAGCGCGAACGTGCATGATCGACTTACTTTCCAAGAGATCTACAATATTTTGCGTGAGGAATGCGTTGGTGCTCGTGACGGTGTGGAAGAAGGTTTGGAACATTCCAAACGGCGATCCACTTTTGTGTTTACTGGACCGTCTACAAAGAAGACGTCTTCAAAGGGTGCGAAGCCGATCATGGAGGCTCTTCAAGAATTCGACTACGATGATGACGAGGAAGAGGGTGACGAGGAACGGGGTTCCGCTTGAGCATCCAAAACAAACAAAACATTTTACAACGAATCGATTCGAGGGCACTAAGTTTCCAATCGGTACCTAAAATGTTTTGTACTTTCTTCATGTCTTGAATTTTTCAAGCTTTAAGGTTGTTTGTGCTTCTCATACTCATCCACTACTACTAGGATCAATTGCCTAGATTTTGCATGGTACCCAAGTTGTCTCTGACGATCAAACTGTCACCTATCATCTGCACCACTTTTTTTCCAGTACAGCATTTGCAAAAGTGATCGTTGTGAATCTCCGCAGCTTCAACTCTACTGTACGGTATTAAAAGTACAAGTATTCATAAAATGTCTCTCTACCTACGGGTACCAGGTACACGTGTACCGGTACGAACCTCCTGGATACCGGTACCAGTACGAACCTCCTGGATACCGGTACGGTACTGCGAAACAATTTGTCTACTATCTCTTGCCTGTTGAAAAACCAGCACCAGATTCTCGCATCGCACAGATCGATCAACAATGGCAGCTGTTCAAGATAAAGAAAAGGTCCGAAAAGCGGGGGCAGAGTTTGCGGCAAAGCAAATCGAAAAGCTTTTTAAGAAATCCAAGATCGTTGACTCTTCTGTAAGTGCAATTGCTTGTTTTCGCTTTGAGTGCTTTGAAGTTGGCAAAGATTCGATCTCACTTTTGTAATCACCTAAGGATATATTTCCAAAGTTCTCAAAGGAAGAGATCAAGTTGGGAAAAGTCTTGGGGAAAGGCGGATTCGGTACTGTCTACGAATGTCTTTCTTTCGGTGCCAAATCGAAACCATCCAATGCTGTCCCGGATGCCGAAGGTAAATAATACAAGCGGAATTGAATTGATAGATAGGTTTCTTCCTGCTGACAGCTCTTTCTGTTGTTGATGACCCAGATCAAATGGAGTCTCGTAAATTCATTGCCGATCATTGCATTCGAGAGGATGGTGATGCCCGCTATGCCCTTAAGATTTTGAGCCCTGAAGTCGTCAACGACGCCGGAATCTTCATTCAGGGAAGCATTGATATGGCAGTAGAAACCCGCGTTCTCTCTGACATTGAACATCCCAACATAATTAAGATGCGTGCATGCGGTTCGCTGAGTCCATTCGAAGCAGACTACTTCATCGGTAAGACCTATATTATCTTTGAACACTATGCATTAATTGTTACGACATGCAATCTAATTTTATGTTTCACAATAGTCATGGACCGATTATACGATACTTTGGAGAGTCGCATCGCAAAGTGGGGAAAGTTGCAATCGCGTATTACTGGAGGCTTTGGGAGCAAATTTTTTGACCGAAAGGGAAAGAAGAAGGCGGCTCTTTTGGAGGACAAGTTGGTAGCAGCTTTTGATCTTTCTGCAGCAATATTATACATGCACAACAAGAACATTTTGTATCGCGATCTTAAGCCTGAGAATGTTGGCTTTGACATTCGCGATGATATCAAGCTTTTCGATTTCGGTCTTGCAAAAGAGGTTTTCAGCGAAGACAAAGATGCCGACGGCTTGTACAAGCTGACAGCAATGACGGGCTCTCCCCGGTACATGGCTCCGGAGGTGGCGTTGGAGAAGCCTTACAGTTTTTCTTGCGACGCATACTCGTTCGCAATCCTTTTTCACCAAATGTACTCGTGCAAGACGCCGTTTGAAGTGTACGGAATGAATTCACTCAGGACCAGAGTTTGGGGTAAAGAACAAAAGCGTCCATACATCCAGCCGGATTGGCCAGAGACGATCAAGAGCCTGTTAGAGAAGTCCTGGAACGAGAACGTGCATGAGCGACCTACCTTCCAAAAGATTTACGATATTTTACGAGAAGAATGTGTTGGTGCTCGTGACGGTGATGAAGAGGGTTTGGAACATTCCCGACGACGATCAACTTTTGTGTTTCGTTCAAATTCTGGAAAGAGGACAGCATCAAAGGCAGCGAAGGGGAATGTGATGGAGGCTGTCCAAGAATTTGACTATGATGAAGACGAGAAGGAATCAGAAAATTAGCTAATAACAGGAGAACAATCCTTTCGAATAATCCAGTTGCGCCAGCTCCGTGGCATAGCGACTATGGATTCGGACCAAGTGTGCAATACATGTAAAGAGTTGAAAATGATTTGTAAATACCTGTAAACTTATTTATGATTCTGCATTTCTCACTCTCGAGTGTAGGAAAGCATGTATCGAAGCTTGTTCTGTCTCATACTAGTCCTAATGTCAGACTCTCTAACTATGATTGCAAACTTCGTTAGGCGTCAGAGAGCGGGAGTTTAGTGGTGCTCCATTTGTCATGAGCTACCAGAACGAGTGACCATGAGCCACAACTTTGTCGAGCGTGAATACAGGTGACGAGCGACGCGAATCCAATGTCATATTTCAAATCGTGTAAATCGCTCTCTCTCGAATCGAAGCAGGTCCTCCGAGTCGCAACTGGTAGTCGATGTATACAGCGACGACTCGTTGCTCTCCGAAAACGACGAGTTACTGCTTTCCGAAGAAGACGCCAAGCTCACCTCTAGAGATGCACGATTCCCCTTTGTTCTTTGGACATTCATCTCGTCCTCATGATTGTCATCAAAGATAAGGGCAAGCTCTTCATCATCATCTACAAAGAGTGAATTTTCCGAGGACGACGCTAAGCTCACCTCCAGAGGTGCACGATTCCCCTTTGTTCTTTGGACATTCATCTCGTCCTCATTGTTGTCATCAAAGATAAGGGCAAGCTCTTCATCATCATCTACAAAGAGTGAATTTTGCAGAATATGCAGTGCATCGTCATCTTTTCCTTCGGGGGGCGGTCTATATGCTTGACCATCCGCTTCTACATTGTAATCATAACTGCCCAGCAAATTTTTGTCCAGCCGCGTCTCAGGAACCGAAATTTCGATTGGTAGTTTTCCATTCTTTCCCCATATGATCGGCAACAACTGCTTTCGATCCTGCGTTGTTGTTTCTATCAGAATCCCTGTGTCTTGTGTCGTAATCGTAGAAAAGCTGTCCCGCCTCAGCAAACCATTGTACTTTGCCTCCAGTTGCTTTAGCTCTTCGATGAGGACATTTTGTTCGTTCTCTTTTTCTTCTTGAACTTTCTTTTCTCGATCAATTTGATGGAATATCGCGTACATGCTGACAATATCAACAAGGGTCGGTGAATGAAATGAAACTTCTCAAAAGGTTCCAGTCGCTCTTATTGCTTGCCTTGTATCGTACTTTGGCGGAAGCTCTCACTCCAAGTTTTTTGCTTGTATGTGCTACGAACGGCAGCCGGCCGGCGGCGAGTAGAGTGAGTCGTGGACAAACAACTGACTGACTCACTCAGCCGAATGAAAAGGAACTTTCGAAGTACAGCATCTACGCGTTTCACTCTGTAGTCATCGTCGTGCAGTCAACCAATACCATCTGTAGGTCGTACGTAAACGAGCGACAGACCGGGGCGAGGTGGACAAACGACTCAGCCGAATGAACTTCATTTTAAACAACTTATTCCTTTGCAGACATTTTATTTTGGTGAGAAAAACCTTATCGTCTCAAACATCGTAATAAAATCCACAATCAGTACAACGAGACAATGTTCCAGAAGTCTTTGCAATGAAGACCAAACGAAATATCCAAGAAGACGAAGACTGGGGCGCTGACGATGACGAAACCGAGTTGCAGTCGAATGGAAGCAGCGCCTTTGGACAAATCATCGTCTTGGTCATGGTAGGATTCATCCTCCTCATCCTGACAAATGTCATCGAGCTTCAGGGCGACGCGAGTCAACCCACTTCGAGTAGTAGTATCCAAAAGATCAACGAGACTGTGGTGATGACTACAAGTCATCGACCAATCGGTCTTACAACGAGACGGAATCGCATTCCACAAGATGTGGTTGTAAAGTCGAAGCCAAACAATCTTATGGTGGACGACGAACAGAATGGCGATGATGGGGCGAATACAAATGACGATGTTCAAGCCACGGCAGATGGTGGTGTAATTGGCGACGTGAATACGGTGGTTGATGCGCCGATAGGATCACTTGGTCCTCTTCCCAATATTAGCCTGAAAGACGCCTGGCTAAATGACTTTGCCCGACTGCGAGAAGAGGAACATTCACGAGGGCGGCATACCTATGTACCAAGAGGTCGTCCAATGGACGAGACGCAACGTCAAACGCTGATGGATCATTGGGGTTCCTGGACACTGGTTGATAATAAGGAACGTCCTCTGAACGATTATTACACCAAATACCCAAATCGGGATATTCCACGATCCGAATTTCCAGAGAATGCCTGGCAGACTGATGCAGAATACCTTTCCAAATTGCTTCCAGAAGGTCTTGCACTTGTGGAAAGAGCACAAGAGGCGATTCTTGCCGAGTATGGTAAAACCGAGGGAAGCTGGGAGCAAAAAGCCAAGATGTTCAAGATTAAACACTTTCAAGACAGCAGCTTGCCGAAAAGTGGGTTAGGGGCAAAAGAAGGTACCGCCCATTCTTCACTCCGGCAAGGTGGCTGGACCACGACGAAAAGTTGGGCCGGTCTGAAGCGGAGATTGCTACATGCCATCATGACGGAAGGTCAGTCCATTTGTTGTATGCAAGACAAATCCACTATTACTACTACCATGAATGAATCTCATCGGATTGCTATCGTGCTTCACCAGACAATTTTGTTTTTGCTATGGGTAAGTACAGAGGATTCCTGTAGTGTTGTTGAAAAAAAAGGTATCGTGGACATGATTTGGTATCTAAAAATGAGTGCATTTCAAACATTGAAGGCGGCCATTCTTCTGCGGCTGGTCATGGGTAAGACTCTATCAATGATATATATTGCTTCAAATTCATTCACTTTCTCACCATTGGTGCCGATGAATATAGAAATCACTTTATACAGTCGTATACGCTACAAGTGCAATGGATATTGGAGCCAGTGTTCGCTCGATTAGGTGTCAAGCACGAAGCTCGAAATTTTGGTCATGGCGGGCTTGGTAAGTTAATAGTTTTACGTGGATGCTCATCCAATACTGGCAATATGACTTGCTCAGCCTTTTGTTTTGCGATGAAAAAGGTACACTTCAAAGTGGCTTGGCGGCTGGAAGCATATACGGTCCCGGTGAGTGGTGGTGGTTTTGAAGCTACAATACTAGTTTGTCTTGGTTCGTTCGCTGCGAGACTTGGTTTTTCTCACAATTTGCTTTTCAATGACACTTGCTGGAACAGATGTTGATATGTTAATGTGGGATGCAGGTGCGTATTCTTTCCATTGCTATCACATTGAAGGTCATAACCATAGGCGAAAGCTGACGATGATGCACGTTTGTTGGTTTTTTTGCAGGCATGACAGAGGGTCTTGATAAGAGGGCAATCGCAGTGATGCATAGACAGGGTATTCTTGGTGGTGTAAAAGTTCCAATACTGTGGTCACTAGCTTCTGGAATTCTTCGCCAACTCCATAAAGATGCGGGTGTCGACATTGGCTCTCCAGGTTCTGCTCATGATGGGATCCCAATGATTAAGAGTCACGAACAAGTAAAAACCATGCCTTGGGCAATGCGAGCTGTAAGTGAAGAATGAGAAGACAACGGGCTCATGTCAGGCACAGTGTCAAATCAGATAGCTTACCAACTGTTGTTTATTAGGTTAGGTGCACCAACGACCTTCATAGCATCTGCCGGAAGGGCGAATACATTGGACAGTGTTGGGTTGACCGCGACGACTTTACACCAAATAATCCTCAAGGTGATGCGCCAAAAGGGAGAGGTACGTTTTGGAACGAAAGTTGCCTGGTCACATCTACAGGTCAACAATTCAGCACAATTTACTGAACGTGTGTCCGCACAGCAACATGGCACCCTGGGAGCCGACGTCATCAAGTAACAGGACGCGTGATTGCATTCACCATTTTACAGGCGTTGAAGGAAGTTTTGACGGAATGGAAGGAAGCAGATGGCTATGTTTTGGATGACAGCAGTTGGCATGTGACCAAGTATTATGATGATATGCGAGCCAGAGTATCCGATTCCCCTAATGGAGCATGCAGTGACCTGAAGAAAGTCGCGCTTGGATTCGCATGTAATCATCCAGTGAAGGTATTACTCCAATTCAGCTTGCTACTTTTGTCTTTTTACTGAAGGTACTTCGTGTGTCCTCACGATCTTCACACTTGAATTACGCAGGCACGTACAGAATTCACACCAAGAGCATATCCATCTTCCACAAACTTGAGAAGCATCATGCCTCCAGAGATGCTCGCCCATATTACTAAGCCAGGTGGAAACGTCTATCGAGGCCGAGATGTCTTCAACCCGGTATTGCACCCACCGGAAGGAGCGGTAGACGTTTTGTCGATTGTGGAGGCCGGCGTTGACTTCAAATCGGTGATGTTACCAGACTACCGATGGTTTTACAAAACTCCATCAAACAGCAAGCCTCCTTTTGACACAATTGGAAGAGGGAACAAGCTAGCAACTGTAGCCGGAGACGATTATTGCGATGGTACGGTTGACTCGGAATGCGACAGATCTAGGTCGAATTCATGTTTATTGAGCGGTCACAACGACAGTCGAAATGGGATTATGTACCATGGTTACAGTGGATGGTTGTTTTTCAACATTCCAGATCTGAAGTATGGCTACATTGTTGCCAAAATTGAAACTTGGCACTGGGAAGGGAGTAAGTAAAGAAGGCTGGACCTTTTTGCTGCTGGTGTGATTTCCACTAATTCATGTCTTGTTAGTTGGAATTGCTGATACTTGGGATAAAATCAATGGCAACAAGAAGACTGCACCCAAAGCCAAGAACAAAAAGAAAAAGAAGAAGAAAGGTGGCAAACACCGTAGACTAAAGCAAAAACGAAACTACTGCAAAACCTTCTGGTTTGAGTTTTCAATCAACGGCGAAGTGAAGACTATGAGTCTTTCCAAGTGGAACACAAAGATCCACAGCGTTCAACGGGTGGTTGAGACAGTTAGCCTCTTGGCAGACCCAGAATTTACTGGTGGTGAAGAGAAAGAAGTTGAACTCGGAATGCGGATTCGAGGATGTGGTAAAACAAAGGGTAAGTGCATGCTGGCCGTCTTTTTTTGCAACCGTACATTCAGCATTTCCTCACTTCGATTATCTGGTATATCATGGCTTTGAATAGTCTTCTCGTTGACGCATTTGTATTGGTCATGAATGAGCATAGCTACCTACTCTAGAGTGATTATAGAATTTCACCAATTTGAGTCCTGAGTAGTGTTTGAATCACGGCCAAGCTGCAATGTCTGTCTGCCACCGCACGTTAGTTGCGTTCAAAAAACAATGCTTTCTTATTTTGTCGGTCATCATTTTCAACATCATCGTAGTCACTCGATATAGTCAGGCTTTCCAACTAGCATCAAACGTCAATCGACCTACACCTCTATATATCCGCATTGGTTTAATTCACCATGCTAGCTGCCGACAAACTCCAGCTGCAGAGCCATCTGAAACAACAAGCAACATTTCTGAAAGAAAAAGAGTTCAAGCTTCACCATGAAAACTTTAGTAAGTCGGCCGCTATCGCGATGATTCTTTGGTATTTCTTTACAATACCGGTACAGCATACCTAACCAATCAACCCTTGTCCTTGTTGTTAGTGACTGTCGGCACACAGGCTGCCGTGTTGGCCGGATTGGACATTACCATGTTTATTGAATTTCAACCATCTGCCAATTTGGAATGGGTAAGTCAAAGGAGGATCAATTTGAACTATTTTTGTTTGCAGCCAGCACTTTTGATATGACAACTGATGCATGCATGTATAAATTGTCTTATCAATGTCATTATAGGGTGAGGGTCTGGAATGGCTACCAAGATTTCTGAAATTTGTGTATTTCATCACCATCGTATCGGCATTTTGTGCCAACATGATCGTTGTAAGTCATACAACAACACTGAGCGTTTTGGGTGCCGGTATGGCGTTGCGGGGTCCTGATGGATCCATGATGACGGCTACAGATGGTCTCTATGACGAACGATTGGCAGTATTCAGTATTTTTGGCTTTGGCTTGGCGTGTACGGTCGGGAGTGTGGTCATTTGTGTTTGGCTGATATTGCATTGGGAATCGGCATTTATCTGCATGATCATAACATTGATTACGTGTCGCAAAATATATCAGAACTATCAACGAGTGACCAAACGATTCTCCTTTGACGAGAGTGAAACGGTTGACTTTCGAGACATTATGGAAGGTCCTGCTGCCATTAGAGCTGCTCCATGGAGACCGATGAGTAATAGTTTGTCTAAGTCATCGTTTAATGCTGAGGAGGACGTTGAATGGCAAAAGCAAGAGATTCAGAATCTTCTGGACCAGAGAGATATGAAACGGAGGGCCAATGCATCATCTAAACAAACGTCACAGAACGGCGAAGGGCCAGGTTACATCAAGACGATATAGCCAAGACGATATAGCAAATTCTCCATAGCTGAAGTAATGGATGCTGGTTTTAGAGACGATTTGCCAAGTCACAGCTGCTTTAACAAAGCCGCCTGCGATGCCGTTCCAGCCAAAATACACATTCATTTCATTGAAGATTGCTTGCTGTGTGATGCATGATGAACGAAAGACAGACTAAATTCAATTATACATCCAGTAACCTAGTATTAGATTTTGTAGCTCATCCGTATTATAACTGTCTTTATAATAACATGCTCAACATTTGAAAACTAAAATTATATCTGAATCCAAGGAAATCACAGACTTGGCGCCATACTGAATACCTGCTCGGTTGCAATGGCAATCAACTTTTTAAAGATTTCTATATTGAGAATTACAGTAGTATATTTTAAAGCTTTGGGGTTTGCGGATTGAGATGGAAATTTGAAATTGATGATTGACCGTGGGGACAATTGTGGTGTCCCAAGGATCAACATAAGATGGGTTGGTTTTTATTGATACAGAATTGCTTTTCTCTCTTTCGTTTCGAGACAACTAGAACCAGCGAACGTAGACTGATACCTTGCAGGCCTTCCAAAACGTCGATGATTCGCATGGCTTGTTTGCAAAGGTTTCGTCATCCGTCGGCTGCTGCTTGCGCCCTACTCCGCGGATTGCTCCGTGACATTCCAGCCCGTTTCAGCCCTGAAACATTCCCGAAGGTTAAGGTGCCTGTCTTTCCATTCACTTCCATCTTTACTTTTTTCTGGTCTTCCGTCTCCTTTGCTTTTGGATCCGTGCCACCCCCTTCGTCGTCCGCAGTCGCATCTGCCATTTCTCCAGTTGCAGTCGTCCTGGCAGCACCACCAACACACGAACGGACCCTTCAGGATTGCACTGCACGGCACAGCCGAACTAACTCAGAAGCTCGAACTCGGAGGGGGCTTCAACGATCCTTTCTCTCTTCTGACCCTCCTACGCTCCAACTGACGGTACTCTATTGTTGAACGACAACTCTTATCGTTGGTAGTGCTTTATTTTCACTTTCACTTGCACTACGGTACCTGTACAACACAGCCAAACACCAACATACCATACGAGGTACCTCCTCGTACCTACTAGGTTGACGAAGCAAGCACCTTCATTCCGCTGCCTTCCGATGTACTAGAGGTACGTGATTGCTGGCGTGCGCTCTGGAGTCACAAAAGAGTCATTTACCCTAAGTAAATGGACTTATATAGTCTTACTACTAGAAATGTTTTCTTGCCAATAAGTCGAAACTAGAAAAAAGATGATGTCGCAAGACAGGGCTGGGCATAATTGCTGAGCAAGCCAGACTCCAGCGCTACCAACTGATGCCAGATTCTGCTTCTCCTTCTTGGCAAGATCACAAAACTGGCAAGGTAATCGTAGTCTTTGGAATTGTTGGACATGTTGTGTGGGAAGTTTCTATTCTCAAAAAGAATCTTGTGAAGGTCATTCATGGTACCTGGTACCTGGTACCTGGTACTCGGATTCGCCTTGAAGTTAAAGATACAGCATTCAATGAAATGCATGATCATGTTTCCATCATTCTTCTCAGCGAACAATATCCCCACGAAAATCGTTGACAACATTCGGATACTTTGCCTTCATATCAGAATCAGTGACAAGTCCACCAAGTAGTTCGCTGAATGTAGGTGCACCTGCGTGGACAAGCTCACTTGGCAAGTCATCTAGTGACGCGATACACTTTTTCAGTCCACCAATTTGGTTTAGTTCAAAGGTAACGAAATCAGTATCCTTTCCTTTGAGTAGGGCTTCTACTGTCACCAATGCAACATCCTCCCGTGAAATCTCCGAGCTGTAGATATCACCTTGTGAAAGATGAAGCTTTGCAGGTCCCTTGGACGGTCGTCCATTCAATGCACCTGGTCGAATGATGGTATAGCCTAGTTGTCCTTTGCCTCCTTGTTGTTTCTGAGCAGCATAGATATCACGTACAGCGCTTTCTCCAGCAATCTTGTAATCCATAAACTTTTCCCCAAAGTAATCCTTGACAAAATAGTTTGTTTGCTTGAATGCTGGTGCATCGGGTCTGGTGACAGTTCCTGCTGAAAGCAAAACTAGTTTTGGAACCTTTTGTTGAATACAAGCAGTAGCAGTGTTCATGGCACCAATATAGTCGACATCACGAGCGACACCGCCTTTGGCTTTACCACTAGCACTAGCCGCAAAAATGACTCCGGAAGCGCCGGATAGTGCCTGGTTCACGACGGTTTCCTTGGTAATGTCGCAGGAAGCATATGTGACAAATGGAGAGTCCTCTTTCAAAACGGCGCGGCCATCTCGTGTGGTAGCAAGTACATATAGTCCCTTGCTGATCAAAATTTGGGTGCACAATTTCCCACACTGGCCACCGGCTCCCAAAATGACAACGGGATGCTTTGGGTCCGCGCCAATACCAGCAGCACCATCCGTCGCGGCCTCGGCCAATGGAGATCCCAACAGCATGGTGCTTAGCAATATTGCACAATCTCTACTTGCAGTCATCGCATCGCGACGCTTGAAAAGGATAGAACCATCCGAGTGACTAAGCTCTTGGTCGGTAGGTTCTTGCTGTTGTGGATCCCAATCGTCTGCGGCCTGTTTTTGTTGTCGGAGGGCGCTTGTTACAATAGGCGAATGACACCCCGTATTGCCCGTGCTTATTGGGCTGCGCAAAACGAACGAGTTTGACGAATGGCATAGAAGGGTACCGACGAGGGGTACAAGAAGTCGAAACATGTTATCGTTAGTTGTTGTTGTCAACAAAGGGGTATTATGAAGCGGGTATTATAGCGTGGCAGTTATTGATGTCATGAAAATGAAAAACTGTGTCAGAGATTTTGAAATCGACTCATGTGACTCAATCTCGAAGATACCGCTTCAAGACCAAATCAAGTTTCCAAATTTGTTGCCATTATTATCCATGTATATGTGGACTCTTTCATTCATCATACCATCGTTCCGAACCCCAACAAAATTAGCGAAGTTCAAGCTAAAGCTATCGCTTACCTTACAAAGAAGAGCGAAGGTGCGAAGCACTCGCAAGTTGCATCTGCTGAGACGTCACCAAGTTGGGAGTGATGTCCGAGATTTTCTCGATACCACAAATCGCCATGGCTGCTTCGATTTCGGTTCGCAACAATTCGAGCAGGTACGAGACAGCGTCTTGGCCACCAACCGCTAAACTGAAAAAGACCGGTTTGCCAATGCCAACAGCTGAAGCACCAAGAGCTAGGGCCTTCAAGACATCCGTTCCTCTCCTGATTCCGCTGTCCAACAAGATTGGCACTCGTCCTGCCACCACTTTGGCAATAGGAGGAAGTGCATCAATTGTCGCCAAGCAGCCATCTAATTGTCTGCCACCATGGTTGGATACCATAATACCATCTGCTCCAGCTGAGATTGCTAGTTCCGCATCTTCCGGGGTCATGATTCCCTTGATGACAAGAGGTACCGGCCCTGCCTCTTTTTTGATCCATTGGATATCGTTCCAATTCACATTTTGTTCAAACTATGGGATTGAACAAGGCAAAGAGGTCAGGTCAAGAATAAAGAATTATAGCGATACTGCAGTAGTCTAAACATACCATTTGCTCCGAATTTTGATCCCAAGCTTTCTCTTCTTTGCCGTTGTAGGTCTTGTCCAGTGACGGGGAACCCTGAAGACTGTCGTCATAATTCTTTAGTCTATGAGGCGGCGGAAGAGCATTGAATCCATTTCTAGCATCTGCTTCTCTGTAGCCAAATCGGACTGAATCAACCGTGAGAAACAAACCAGTGTAGCCCGCTTTTATAGCCCTTCGGATGAGACTCTTGGTACGTTCCCTATCTTTCAGAATATACAGCTGGTACCACCGAACCGTCGTCGGTGGAGCAGCAGCAGCGACCTCCTCAATACTCCGTGTGGAATGCTGGCTCAGACCAAACAGAATACCCGCTTTGGCACAAGCTTGAACAGTCGAACATTCGCCTTCAGGATCGCACAAGGCATGCACCCCAGCTGGACTGACGAAAACTGGCATACTGACCGAGTTCCCAAACAGTGCGGTTCTAGTAGAAATTTTGCCTACAGGTCTCATGACACGCGGTCGTAAGAACCAGCGCTGAAAGGCACGTCGATTCTCGTTCAGAGTGGTTTCATCATCAGAGCCAGATGCTAAATATTCGTACAAATCCTTTGGCAGAAGTTGATGAGCAAGGATCTGAAAATCGTTGACGTTGAAACACTTGCGACTATAGTCACTGTTTTGTTCCGCTCCTCTCTTCTCCACTGCAATCAAGGTCTTTTGTGACATTTCGGGTGCGTACATGATGATGATTCAGCAGGCGAGGCGTGTATACTATTCAGATTGATGCGGTGATAACAAGAACAAACGACGCGATGACATTGAATACCAATATGACACGACCCACATTTTCCGATTTTGTTTTGTTTCGGGCCTATATCAGTACCTGACAATGTCTACAGAATCGAGTAATAATGGGCTAACATGATTATCGTCCATTTAAAATTGAAATCAGTATGGAAAGAAAGTAGAATTCTTATATTTGATTTAGGTCGATCAATGTCAGTTCAGATACATAATGCGTATCAATGGGCCTAGTGTAACAGTGCGACGCCTAGATTCGCAATAGAACTTTGCCCTTACTTTTTCCCGATTCCAAATACTCGTGTGCGTCACGTGCTTGCTCCACGGAAAAGACAGTATCCACCTTGACATCCAATTTCCCATTAGACACGAGGCCAAATACATCATTGGCTCTATACTCCAGCTCTTCCCTTGTGGCCATGTAGTCTCCTAGCTTGGGACGAGTGCAAAATGCTGATTTCGGAGTGAATCTCTTGATGGCAACGGGTGGCACGGGACCGGAAGCATTGCCAAAGGAGATCCAAATGCCTCGTCTTGCTAGGCACTGAATCGAAATATCCGACGTAGATTGGCCCACACCATCCACAATGCATTTGACTCCATCACCATTGGTAATCTCCATGACCTTTTTCTGAATGTCCACCGAGGTGTAGTCGGAATGCGATTTTCCTTCTGCAGTATCCAGCACGATCAGCTCGTCACAGGCGCCCTTCGGAACAGCATCAGCTTTCGATTTGCTAGTGGTACCAATTACCTTGAATCCTCGAACCTTTGCTATTTGAGCAGCCCACTGACACGTGCCACTGCCAACCGAAAAAATCAGGCACCATTGATCCTTTTGAATAAGACCAGCATGTGCATCGGTGACGAGATAATGTGCCGTCAAACCTTGCACCATACAAGCTAGAGCTTTTTCCATGCCAATAGATTCTGGAACTTTGACCACTTTGGAAGCTGGAACTGCCGAATATTCACAATACGAGCCAACTAGCGCAACGTAAACGACCTTGTCTCCAACTTGAAGACCGAAGTCTTCAGTTTTGGACCCCAAGGCAACAACTGTACCACCACCTTCTTGTCCAGAGATAAATGGACACGCCTGCTTGTAAAGACCACTGCGATAGTAGGTATCGATAAAGTTCAGACCGGCGAATTCATTCTTGATCAAGACTTGGTTATCGCCAACCTTTGGCACTGGATAAGATGGATCCAGCGTCATTGCTTCAAGGCCACCAGTTTCTTTCACGACAATCGCTTTCATGGTATCGGGAATAGTAGATTCCGCCATTGTTGATGTTCAAAAGACAGGAGGGTACAGTATCGTATGATAACTGTTACTATATGCAGCAAAGTATACCGGTATATTACGATACGAATAAGATCTTTTATGGTTCTTCCCCAAGAAATAATCCTTTTTTTTCGCAACCCATAAAATCGTCCCCCCATTGTGCGTCTGCCAACAGTCAGTCGTTTCCTATTGGTCAAAAATATCGTTCACCAAAAACGACAAACTGAAAACCGACAAACGCACAACGGTATTTTCCATCATCAAATCAAAAGCGAGCCCAAACTTTAATTTACCATCCTTCCCATGCGTGTCTCTCTTGCTGTGTTGGCTGCCTCTTTGGCAAGCAATCAACACAATGCCATCTTAGTTTCTGCCTTTCAACCTCCTACAGACCTCAATCACCAGCATCCTCCTAATACAGAACAACAGCAACAAGATCCAAACCACCCTCGTCAGAGCACACGATTGAATGATGCTTCCGCGATGCCTTATGATGCTTCTGCGGTGCCTTATCTGAGCAATTGGAAGCTTTTACCAGAGGGAAATATTCAAGGTGTTATCTTTGGTCACCCCGTCCTAGAAAACGGCGATGTGGTGACAACTTCCCAAATTAAGGATTTGAAGAACCCTTCAGAAAACCAAATAATACAAACTGAATCGGGAAGCCACTACCTGCTTCGGGACCGAGATGTCGATGAGACACGAAATAATTTCAACCACAAGGTCGCCGGGGTAAGTTTGCATCTTGGATCATCCTGGTTTGAAATATGGCTGGATCTCACCGCAACCGTTGTCCATTCCATCGTTGTCTCTTTCCATTTCTACGCTTCCGCTCATCTCATGCTCATCATCTATAGCCTCTACTGGGTGGTGCTGTCTTTGCAGCTGGTGCAGTAGGTCTGGTAATGGACGGAGAAAGCGCTAGATTTGATACAGCTGCTCCCGCCCAAGCCTTCAAGGAAATGTCGGCAGTGTCGATCAAGCAATTCCAAAATTCCGCACAATCCGTTGAGGAATCCATCGACTTGCCATACCTTGCCAGCAAGGTCTCCGAAGCAGAAAAGCAATTCCAGGCCGCCCGCGAAAACATGTTCCAGAATTCTGCACAATCCCTGGGGGAATCCATCAACCTGCCATACCTTGCCAGCCAGGTTACCGAGGCAGAAAAGCAATTTCAGGCCGCCCGCGAAAACATGTTCAAACAAAAAGGTCCCGAGTCCAATGCGGCTGCCGCCAGCGTAGTTGCCAAACAACAAGATACTCAAAAGTTTGAACAAGCCCTTTCGGTGGCTGCCGAGAAGGTTGCCGTTGAAAAGGCCGCTCTTACTGAAAAGGTTGCCTGGGAAAAATTTGTTCAGAACGAAATTGCCAAAGAAAAAGCCGATACTGAAGTCATAAGTAGCGCTTCCAGTGCAGCAGCCAAAGCCTTGTCCGAAAACAAATTTGACGAAGCCAAAGCTGCTTTTGAAAAGGCCCAGATGGCGAGAGCGGATCTAAAGGAATTGCAAGCCGAACGTGAATCTGCCACTCTAGCCGAAGAGAATGCAGAAGCAGAAGAAATGTTTGCGGAACAAGATGTGATGAAGATCATTAGAGAGATCAGGCAAATGGCCACCATGTACACTGCCAAGGCTGCTAGTTTGAAACCAGCCGATGCTTTGTATTATCTTGAAGAGCTGAAAATCAATCCCAAACTTGCCGAATACATGAGTACTGAAGAGCGACAAGTTGCTCTTGGTGCTCTTGCTGCAGCCGCGGCTACAGGAACAGCCTTGGCTGGAAGTTCCTTTGCATCTGGAAAGAAGGAAGACGAAAAGGAAGTAACTTCTACTTCTCCTATGGAATCTAGCACCACCACAAAAAAGATGACAACACCCCCAAAGCAAGCAACTTCTGCGTCTCCAGTGGCATCTAGTAGCACCAAAAAGAAAGCACCAGAGCCCGCTCGTGCGCAATCTGCTCCCGCCGTCGTCGCTGCCAAGTCGACTGCCACACACGCTGCCAGCGCTGCGTCAAGCACAGCTGCATCGAGCACAGCTGCGACCAAGTCCACCTGGGGAAGCTACCTTGATGTATTGGGTTCTTATGGCTGTGGATCTTCAGTTGTTCCATCCTCTTACTCTCCATTCGGAAAGAAGTCTACCGGAATGACGTCACATACTAGTTTGTATGGACCTCCGATTGCTGAGCATGCATCCCCCGTAGCTGCAGCACCGACACACACGACAGCTGCAGCAACAGCGGCAACAACAACTACAACGCGATCACCAACCGCACATGCGCCAGCACAGGAGAAACCACGCAGCAGTGGAAACTCGGGATATTTGGACGCCCTATCTGGCCCACCTGGTGCCGCAGTCATGACCTCCTACTCTCCCTTTGCACCCAAAAAGTCTCAGGTTTCCCCCCCAACGAAGCCGGATATTCCAGAAAAGCCGGACATTCCCGCCCACATTCGACTGGCCTACAAGGAATGGTGCGAATACTACGGAAAGAAAAATGAGGAGTTTCGATTGGAAGTATTTGCCCAGAACTTTGCCGACGCCAAGGAATTTTACAAGGAATCTGGACGAGCTCTTCTCTTGAATGAATATGCCGATTTGACGGCCAAAGAATACCAGCTGTTGCCCAAGACTGCCTAGACAAGAGTGGCAAGCACTGGATATTATATAAATCGATATGCATTGTACTTTATTGAAATAAATTTGAATATGATTCAACGTTTTTGTTTCTGTTTGAATAAATACCATTTAGACTTTTGAAGTATAAAAGAATAGTCCTAGCTAGGTAGCTTGAGTGGGTCTTAAAACATTAGTATCGCTAATAGTAAGACCCACCAGCGGGTGGCGGCGGGGGAGGATAGTACCCACCCATTTGAGGAGGTGGCTGACCATACATCATTTGAGGAGGTGGTGGTGGTGGAGGGGGGATGTTGTTTCCACCAAAGGGAGGTGGTGGGGCCATTTGTTGTTGTGTCGTGGGAGCAATTTTGGGCGAAAACCGTGACTTTTTGCGTTTCGATACCGTCTTCACTCCTCCCTCGGCTACTATTTTCTTCAAGCGTTCTTCTTGGGACCCCAGCATGGTGCGATGAGCCTTTTGGCCTACACGCTGTTGCAGGAAAAAGGCCGCATGCAACAAGGAGCACACTCGCGACTGCAATTCCATTTCGGAAGAATCCACCGTGGTCCCTTCAAAGGCTGGTACCTTGAGTCTCGATAACAAAAGTTGTTGACACCAGAGCAATTGCCGGTGTTCCCAAGCAATATTGTTCAGGAATGACTGTCGTTGTTCGTTGCATTTTTGTTGAAAGGCAACTAGTTCGGCCTCATTCATTTGTTCCACTGCCGATTGGGCAGCCCCTGCCACGCTGAGACGTTCATCCAACTTGGATTGTAGCTCTTTTGCCGACGTTGCAATGACTTCATCGACTTTTTTCAATCCCAAGTTAGCCTGCTGTTCTTTGATTCCCTGGAGCATCCATAATCCGCGGCATACCTGCAAAATGGTAGGTCCACTCTGTTTGAGTAACAATTGAATAATTTGAAGAGCCAGTTCTTCTCCCACTAGTTCCTTGCCCGTGGGATCCTTGAGTTTTGGTGGATTGGGGCTAAATAGAGGCCTTGGTGGTTGGGGTGCTGCTGTTCCATCTCGGACTAACCAAGCTGTCATGAAAGCTGGATCGTTTTGTGCATTGTTGGTAATTTCTTCCAATGCCTTGTGCTCCACGTCGACATCACTCGCCGTGACCACATGTGTTCTAGACTCTTCTATAGACATCGTTTCTTGTGGCAGTGCTTGTTGCGAGCTTGGATTCGCATCTGGTTGTTGCAATCCCACCATGGAATCGTTGGAATCTGATCGTAATCGCTTGTTGGAAGCAACGGCGTCTGGTGTGGCCTGCTCTTGTTCGGCAATGGCCTGCTGTAGATCAGACAAAGTCAAATCGGAATTTCGTTTGCGCATCAGCTCCAAAAACTCATTCCACAACAAAGCTCTATCCTGCTGATCTTGAACTAGTCCACCTCCCGTGTGTAGTGCTCGAATATACATATCTTGAGCACTGCGATCTTTTCCCCGCTCTTCCAAAAAGCGTCCATAATCCACCCAAATACGCCCTGCAGTACCAGCGACGGGGCACTCAATAGCTTGCTCGTAGGCCTCTGTGGCCGATTTGAACTGTTTGGCCTGCCTCAAGAAATGTGCGTAGGCCACCCACAGAGTGGCAATGGCTTCCTTCATTTGTTCTTGGTCCAGCGTCAATTCTCGGGCATCGTCCACCCAATTCAACAAAGCCATTTGAAAGAGGGTTTGGCCTCCTTCCAAATCACCTGCCGCAAATTTGTCGTTGGCAGCCTTGATGACAATGTTGGGATCGTAGTTGCGCTGAGAAGACGGCTCCATACTAAAGTTTTTTTGCTATATGCTTTGTTGCTTTGTTGCTTTGTTGCTTTGTTGCTTTGTTGCTTTGTTGCTTTGTGCTGTTGGGTGTCGGATAAATAGTCTTGTGAGAATGCGTATCGCACAGCACCAAACTTCCTACAGTACACACAACACAACAGTTTTGTGGATTGAGGACTATGTCGGATTAGTCAAATCAACAAGACCCTGGATACGCATACTGTAAGTATTGTACTTGTCCATATTTGAATATAATGTAATGGTACTGGTACGTGTAAGTGTACGCAGTCCGTCCATGCGACTGCCTGCTCTATGGTATCCGTAAAGCGGCATAGTGCCAGATGCTATCTATCGTATGACACGAACGATGTAAAACAACAAACACATAAAAAAAGTATAGACTCCGAGATCTACGGTACAGCACCGGCATGGTATCGGCATCCATGCATCTGTGCACTAATACACACGTAACTGTCCCTCGCAGCGTTGTTTCTGTCAAGTCTGCTGCCAACGGATACTCCACAATAGACTCACAAGCAGGTACTTTTGTACTTTGTGCATCACAACACAACAAGATACATACAACAAAATAAAGCATGGCATCTGCCCACGACAGTGCCAATGATAACGCAAACGCTACAACGGGCCATCCCCACGACGGCAAGTATCATGCAATCGAATCCATGCCTCATTCTCCCTCAACGTTTGACAACTGGAAGCATCGGCAAGAATATTGGGAAAAATTGCGTTCCGAGGAAATACCACTAGAACATTTCGAAGTGGGGCACTTGCAGTCCGCGCTCGGCATCAAACTCGACGCCAACAACGACCATCCTTTCGTTCAATTTATGTGGGATCACAAGCTTCAAATTGAAAAGCTGCAAGCCAAAGCGAAAGAATTAGCTGTACGACTCGAGACCTTGCAAGTCGAACAAACAAATTTTGATCAAGAACTGCAAGCCAAAGCGAAAGAACTGGCTGTGCGACACGAAACCTTACAAGTCGAACAAACAAATCTTGATCAAGAACTGATCAGTTTGAATACAGGTAGTAGTCACGATACAACATTCGACAGTGGCGGAACAGGTCAAAAGCGCAATCTAGAAGAAGTTTTGAATGAAGACCCAGTCACCGAAGACAATAAGCTGCTCCAGGAACGGCTGGAAAGAGAGACGTTGGAAGAGAAACGACGGAATTTGGAATCACAACGAAGATGTTTGGAATCGCAACGAAGATGTTTGGAATCGCAACGAAGATGTTTGGAATCGCAACGAAGATTATTGGAAGAGAAACGACTAGGTTTGGAACCGAAACGAAGATTATTGGAAGTGGACGTAATATCACATATCAACAAAGTTTATCACTCTCATTGGCGTGTCTGGCATCGCCTCGCGTGGTATTCCGAAAATTGCTGCAATGAAATGACGACAAATTCTCAGTCAACAGGAAACAGTTCCATGGACAGCTACGATTCTCGCGTTCCTCGAGAAGCTCCAGAAAAGTCGCCCATCATTGGGGTGGTGGTGGATATGCATGACTTGCTAAAGGACCTGAAGACCGAAGCCACCAATTGGACTGACGACAAGGAAGCTCAATACTTGAAAAAATTGGAAGTTCTAGCGAAATACTTCCTTCAACTTCTAGATCTGGACGAAGCTTCTGCTGACACTGGAGGTGATGAAGCAGCGAACAAGGTGAAAGGGACAGTGACAAAAATCCTTGATCCCAAGTTTCTCGATCTCAGCTCGCCTCCAAAATGCGACGAAAAGCTCAACATCCGAGGATTGAAAGAGAATGCAAGTGTGCATCCCATTCTTCACGCCATCATCTATCGAGTGCTCGGTGTTGTTGGTCTACGTGAGCTTTATATGTCCAAGGAACACAAAACACGAAGCAAAATTCAAGACGAAAAAGAGCATGGCGTTGATTTCTTGGTTGATGAAATGCAAGAGCAGCTCATCCATTTCCTTCCAAGGATGATTGAAGCTGCAGTGGAAGTGAAACGATGTGGAAGAAACGACAAGAAGGATAAGGAACTATTTGACTGCGCTGTGAAACGAGTAATAGGAAAGTCTGCCGAAAGGTTGTGGGGAGAGCTGAATTTTCTAGGTATTGGTGTAGATTGTGACCTGTACGGAGTGGCTGTGTCGCTGTCCAAAATATCGCTTATCAAAGCATCGCTGCAGCATGTGGGAACAGAACAAGTTGAGGTCACATTTATCAAGACCGAGCCAGTTGCTTTGTTAACTCAAGAGGGTCTTCAACTGCTGGCGCTTGCACTGAGCAGTGCTCACAGTGTCAATCAGTTTCAAGCGAAGCATGGCGATGCCAATATCAAAACCAAAGTACCTGGATGCGGAATCGAGGGCGAAATGACTCAAATATCGATTGGCGACTGGTTGGGTTTCGGATCATTTGGTGAAGTGTACAAAGTTGAGAGAATCAAACCTTTGATCGATTCCAATGCTGGATATACACAGGGCTGTCAAGACTATTTTATAAAGATCCCGATATTCCAACGTACGATAACTTCATTGCAGGATGAGGCAAAAGTCTTGCGTCGGCTGAATCAAGCAGATCAGGGGCATGGTATAGTACCCAACATTCCGTCTTGCAAGGCAGCGACTTTTTTTGATTTTGAATTGAATGGCTTTGTCGGTAAAACTTATGGCCTGCTTCTCAATGGTATTATTGGGAAGCGTGCGAGCGCTTTCGATTGGAAGGCGGAATGCTACAAGCAGCACCTACCTTTTGTCATGGAAAAGGTACATGACACTCTACTGGCTGCGCACGAACGGTGTGTGTATCATCTCGATGTTCGATCTTGCAACATAATTGTGGCTCCCAAGGACTTTACAGGAAAGTCACCTGGGTACATGGATGTACTGTTGATTGATTGGAGTATATCAATCGCTGATGATGCAGATTTTTCCTTTCGCGGCTACGACGCATATGCTCACAAGGGGATCCTTGATGCAAAGAGAACGGACGAAAGAACTAAACCAAAACCAGAGTATGACTGGGCTTCACTATTGTACACGTTTTACTACTTGCATGAAGGTGAAATACCCTGGCAGGTATGGGATAGTGATGACTCTCGGTGGCTCTGTGACACTGACATGAGAGAAAAGATGGTTTTGCAATGGTGGAAGCAAAAAGTCCAGCATCAATGGGAAGCAGACCACAGCTTGGTTCAAAAGCTTGCACCACTTCTACTTGAAGAAAAGAGGCCGCCATCTTAGGGCACATACTGGTACCCAAAAGGGTAGGATTATTTGACGTGGCAACCCAAGACGGTATTGAAGTCAACTGCCGATCGTCTTCTAAAAACTGTTCTCTTCAAAGTCACTATTTTTTAAAACATATTATTGCCATGTGCTCTATTGTCTTTTTGCACACAACAATGGGACGTCCACATTGGAACCGAGACTTCCAATGAATTGCAATATCCTCACTGATACCTAGTCGCTCGAAACATCATGATAATAAAGACTGCTATCGTAAATGTTTCATGGATGACAGAGCTTTTTCGGATCCATGGCGCGTATATACTATTGACAAAGACGTCTTGCCAGAATTTCTCACTTCATCCTCGTGCCTCCACTTCTTGCTTACTTGCGGGTGTTAGTTATTGTCTAGGTTTCGTTGGACTACCACGAATCATCTCCTCTATCGCCACTTGTTGATGTAGACAATGTTTGCTTTCCAGTTTTGTGGACCTTCCTTCGTTCTTGATTGCTGCTTATGATGTATTGAACCCAACGAAGATCTTGGTCCCCCGTTTGAATTGGAACCATTTTGTTTCGCTTCAGTTTTAGACTTGCAGTAGCTGCTTTGTGCCCTGAGAGTACCCATGCCTCTGTGTTGTCTGGACAAACGTCTCTCAGAAAATGCCTCAAAGCATCCCAACTCATTGTAACATCTTCTGTTAGGCGCACACCCCATGGCGGATTTGTGACAACCAAACAGGATGCATCTTTCTCATTCATTTGCAAATCGAAGCAGTCCATACTGCTCACATCGATTAGAGTCAGCAAGCCAGCAGCTTCTGCAGAATCCTCAAGTATTTCCACAGCTCCAGCATGAATGTCATTCGCTCGGAGCACCAATTGCGTCTGATCACTTCGTATCCACTCAAGCCCGGTTTTGGCACGATTCGAAGCATCCAACAGAATTTCTTTCCACAACTTGGTGGTATCCAACTCTGACTTCCAACGAATGACGGGAGGACTGCTTTGCCCAGGTACCTGACATCGAATCCTCATCAGACCAGGTGAAATGTCCGCTGCCATCATCGCAGCTTCCAGTATGAGAGAGCCACTTCCCGCCATGGGGTCAATGAGACAAATGTTTGACTTTTTGTCGTGTCCGTTCCGTGCTGCATCCACTCGTCCCTTCCACCCAGCCTCCATCAGCAATCCTGCAGCTAGTGATTCTTTCATTGCTGCTTTGTGAATTGCTGACCCTTGACGATAGCCACGTTTGTGAAGACTGCCTGGTGGGTGAAGACTACGGTACAAAGAGAGGGATGCCCCACCATTGTAACCGCGAAGCATGGCAACCAATGGTACATCCGGATTATCAATATCTACATCCGGCCGATCGCCTCTCATATCACGAACAACGTCGCAAAGCGCATTCTTTATGGAAAGGGCTGTATAGTGGGAATGCGACAAATCCTTTGGTAATTGTCGTGAATTATTGAGGATTGCTTTCACTGAAAGGGTCAAAAGACCTCCCATACCGTCGCCAAGAAGATCCCGTACGTTCACTTCCTGGTTGATGAAAGTATGGATATCATTCTTATCGTAAAGTTGATCCTCTTGATTTGTAGCTGCAACCAATTCCAATAATCGATGTGCCGTGCGTGTCCAGCAAAGAACATTTAGAGATGCCTCTCTCGTCGCAGTAAAGGTGACGGCTGCATTCCCAGATTGTGAGATATCTGTAATCTCTGGATGAATTCCCTCCAATTCTTCTGCCAAAGCAGGTGCAAGACCTGGGATGCAGGTTGCCAGATAAGAAGAAGGTGCCGAAGACGACAACGAGGAGTGCGCCTCTCCAGCAATGTGTGACGACCCAGCGCTCAAGGATGTCTTTGAATTCCTCGACACAGATGGCGGATTTATGATAAAGCCATTGGCAAGAGGCAATATTATCCAAACTGCAAAAAAGAAGGAGATGCCACGACAATGCGCCATGATGATGATGATGGTGATGGATTTTGAAATATTTTGGAAGCTTCCTGCATGATGTGATGGGTGAAGATGGTTTCCAACTGACCGGACGACTGAAAGACCTAGATTGTCGAACTAATCAAAGATTTCAGATTCGTTCCGCGGTATTCCAAATAATAGATTGTCATCAGTCCATCATCATAAGCATCAGCATCGTAAACAACAAACTCCACAGTCTTTGTCTTTGGACTTCTACTCTATTTGTACACTGCGTCTTTTGCTAACGAAACCATGAGTACTACTACTGCCGCTCGCAAAGCCATTACTTCGGACTACGCTCGTTATAGCGCCTTGGCAGAAAAGGCATGTAAATTCTTGTCAGCCTCTCCCGATCCTTTCCACGCCGTCCACAATTGCATCTCGCAATTGAAGCGAGAAGGTTTTGTTGGGCTCAGCGCCAATGAGCCTCTGATGGGCAAGCTAAAAGCTGGTGGCAAGTACTACTATACAGTAGAACATTCCACTCTAGTGGCCTTTTGCGTTGGTCCTGCGTTTGAAGCCTCCAAACCGTTTGGGTTTCATTTGGTGGGAGGACACACGGATTCGCCCAATCTCAAGGTCAAGCCCCGTTCTCAAAAGTCGCATCCTGCCAGTGGTACTATTCAATTGGGAGTGGAGTGTTATGGAGGTGGTCTCTGGCATACTTGGTTTGATCGCGATCTATCCATTAGTGGTCGAGTTATGATCAAATCTCCGGAATCGCCACTGGTCCAACAAAAGCTGGTCAATTTGGAGGATCCCATTGCCCGAATCTCCACTCTGGCCATCCATTTACAGTCAGCCGAAGAACGCAAGGGATTCGCTGTCAATAAGGAGAATCATACGGCGCCAGTCATTGCCACTGACCGCATCATGAGCAAGGAAAACAAGGATGCCGGTAACGTCTTGCAAGAAGGTGTTCAAGAACAAGTCTACGGAAGTGAATGGAGAGAGGGACAAGAGCCTTTGCTATTGGAAGCGATTGCTTCTAAGCTACAAGTGCCAGTGGAACATATCATTGATTTTGAATTGAATCTGTATGATACCCAAGCTGCGCAGTTGGGAGGAATGAAAAAGGAATTCTTGTATTCGGCACGTTTGGACAATCTGGCCACGGTCTTTGCTTCCCTGGAGGCGATTACACAGTATTCAAAAGAGTTGCCTGCTGCCTCTAGCGATATTTCCATGATGGTGGCCTTTGATCACGAAGAAGTTGGTTCGACAAGTGCCCAAGGAGCCGGATCTCCCGTCATGTTGGATGCCATCCAACGCATCTCGTCGGCGCTGCAGGGTAGTACCACTTCGCCAGATCTCTACAATGCTTGCATTCGCAAATCGTTTGTTTTGTCGATTGACCAGGCCCATGCGATTCATCCTAATTATGCCAGCAAGCACGAGGCCAAGCACTCTCCCAAGCTTAATGCGGGAGTGGTCATCAAGACCAATAGCAATCAACGATATGCTACAAATGGATTGACAGGATTTGTGGTTCGGGAATTGGGGCGCCAGGCAGATATTCCAAGTAAGTGAAAATGTTTGCCGTACTGTATATAGTGTTCTCGAATGGGAGATTCGGAAAGAAAGGGGAAATTGGTGTCAGTATCAAGTCTTCTCACTCTTTATCACTTTTGCTTCATTCGTTTCAACAGTCCAAGAATTTGTAGTGCGTAATGACTGTCCCTGTGGCAGTACCATTGGACCGACAATTTCCTCCTTGACGGGTATCCGAGTGGTGGATGCTGGAATGCCACAGCTTTCTATGCATTCTGTTCGCGAAGTCATGGGAATTGCAGATCTCCAGAATGGAATCGATTTGTTTCTTTCCTTCTTTAACAATTTCCGAACACTGGATGATAACATGAGCAAGGAAATTGAGGGCACTACGGCCTATGATTAATATTGAGGTTTGGGACCTGGTTACTGGTTCTTGTTGTGGACCACCACCCAGTTCACAAGCACTCAAGGACTACCAGTATGAATTTGCTACTATGCGGTAGCAGAATTAATCATGCTTTTATTATATCAGTCTACTCTAGATGCTTGCTCATTGCTCAAGTAATTTGAAATAGAATGATTACATACCGGTACAGTAGCAATAAGAGCTCATTGTGATTTTAAAAGAAGATGATATTCAGGGGTTATTTGTTCGTTCATTCGTTATTGCTTCCCCCAAAAGTATACAGCAAACTCAAACACGATGCGATGTGACGGACAGGCACCCAAACCGACCCCCACGAACAATCAATCAAAATGTTCTCCGAAATATTTTTCAATATCTGACGAGAGAGACCTCAAATAGAACCCATCACACAGCAGCGAACACTTCTTGCCTGCAATAACAAACCAACATAATGGCATGGTCAATATCACTGGTGCGCAAACTTCTAATCGTCGCCATGTCACTGATTGTTTCCCAATCTGTACAGTCATTCACCATCGGAGGTGCCGCCAATGGAAAGACGAGAACTACTGAATTGGCAGCCAAGCCAAAGAAAAGGTTACAAAAACGGGAAGAAATTCCAGCCAACTTGAGACGCAAGGTATCTGCCAAACGTGATCCCTTGGGTCATATCGTTCCTTCAGAATTCAAGACAGCAGGAAGTAAGTGGAAACCAGTCAAGACGGTAGAATGATTGTATGGAAGCTGAAAAACTAAGGTCTGTCACTTGTTATTTCATTCGATCCATAGCCGGTGGTTCCGCCAATCCTCGATTGCGACCCCAGGGAAAGGCTCGAGAAGCAGGGTTGAATAATCCCAGTTTACTGAAGATCTTTGGTGGGTCGGCTAGAGGGCGACGACTCGATTCCCCCTCTGTATACCTGAGACCCATGATGGGAAAAGTGAGAGAAGCTGTCTACTCGACATTTACGTCCTTTGGGCTGTATGATTATTCGGTTCGTCACTTGGATTGCTTTGCTGGATCGGGTTCTGTCGGTCTGGAATCCCTGAGTAGAGGTGCTAAGCATTGTACCTTTTGCGATTTGTCGGAGGATTGTTGTGGTGCTATTGAGCGAAATATCAAGTGGTGTCAGTTTGATGGGGACGACCATACCACTCAGATTGTCAACTGTGACGTGCTGCAACTTTTGAGAACCCCGACAGCTGTAGGCGTTCCTGATGGAGAGAAGTTCGGTATTATCACCATTTGCCCGCCATATGAAGAAGTCGTGTATGCCGAATTGATGGATGCTGTCTGCAACTCTCCAGTAGTTCAGGACGATACAATTGTGCTTTTGGAATATCCTATCGAACTGTTGGGCGAAGTTCCACCAGTGTACAGTGGAGAAAAAAATACCATGGTGGGTATTCGGAATCGAAAGTATGGGCGAACTATTATCGCCATGTACATTGTCAATCCAACAGGAAGGATCGACAATGCTGAAAGTCGGCCGATGGAGTTTCTTATGGCTGACTAGCCCTGTATTCTATTAGAAGCTTCACAGTTGTCTATTTACTTATCTTCTTCCTTTGCCTAGTTTCTTCATTCTTGTCCCATTTGTTTGCCGTTTCATTTCCTGTTTTTTCTTTGTATCCACTCCTGCAAAGTGACGGAACCATCGGAAGAAAAGGTAGAATAAGCAGGGAAGAAGATGATAAGTGAGATCAGGTGTAACTCCGGCCGTTTGGATGCACTCTTGTTTGCTGCACAGACATGGCTGGGAGGATATCCCAATGTTCCGACTGATCTCCTCGCTCAAGTGATAGCGTTGTCTAGCGACTGACCTTCATCGCCGGTTTGCTTTGGGGTTGGTTCATTGCTGCTGCTGGATTGCCTTTTTGTTCTGGGCGACAATGACGCTCACTCGCCTGCAGAAGCTTCACATCCATCAGCTGTTTCATATACTTCGTCGAATTCCTCACTTGAATATCATTACTTCGATATATTCCAAATCCTTTGGTAATGCGAATCAAGTATTTTCTCTTGCGACCAAACCACAGCCCCCAATCAGAGGACAATGGTCACACAGATTATTTCTGTCGACCCATAGTAGCCGTGAGTTTATTGCTTCGACATCCTGAATCGACTCTCTATTTGCCACCACACCAATATCCAGCCCCCCTCCTCGTCCCACCCATGCTGTGGTTCCAAGCAACAATCAAAATTCTCCGCAGCCTCATTCATGTGCGGTACATTCACTCTTGCATTCGACGACAGTAACTTTTCTGTGTTTATACTGCAGAAATATGGTCAGTCTTTTTCACCCAATACACACGCATCATCTTGCAACTGTGTAACACACAACAATAGCAAACATGCAAAGCACCATGATCAGTCCACCACCAAATAAAACACCACGACCATGAAAAATCTACGAATACGAGACTATATATGTACACGTAATAAATACTGTACGTACCCGGATTTTTAAAAAGCTCACATTTGCGAAGAAAACAAGGAGACACACAATTCTACTTCCACGATTATCTGTACACTTATTTCGCGAACGATATCAGCATGAAGCATCATGTTCTTATGTTACATCTTTGGAGTACGGTGCTCCCAATATGCTCGTCGTTTCAGCTTTCAACGTTTTTAAACAGACTTCACCAGAAGGTCCGACCTCTGAGTCAGAAGATAGAAAGAAAGAATTTTGTTTGTGGTCTACACGAGTCAACTGCATCTCCTTTATCGTCCTCCTGTTCCACTTTCACGCCGTCAATATTATCCAACAATTGGGAAGAACTCTGTCCACCGCTGATGCCAACACTTTTACTCAGACGACAAGACCGACAGAATGACTCATCAGCCACCATTCAATGGAATCCAAACGATGACGCAGGCCCGTCGTTGGCTGCGGAACGGGCAGCTATTCAACTGCTGGAGCAGCTTTCTCCAAGCAGCACCTTGGATAGACGATTGGTTTCAGCGCTCCAGTCTTATCTGATTGACTTTTACGAATTTTGTGAGGACAATTTTGACAGAGACGTTCAACACTACAAAGCTCGCATGGTGGCCTCCCGTGGAGGTTCGGGGACCTCGTGTCCTCTCTGGCACATTGACCATGTCCCTATTCGATGGATTCAAGCTTTGACTGGTCCTGGATGTGAGCTCATAAAATCAGAAGAAGGAATCAACTGGGATGCTTTTGGTGATGATTCTGCGGATGAACAAGACGTATACATGTCGGCAGAGGAACAGAACCAACTGAGGGTGGACTTGAACGTGGCAAGTATATACCAGGCCCAAACCAGCGAAGTTGCTCTTCTAGTGGGGGACCGATGGAACGAGTTTTCTTCCCAGCAGCTGAAGCCAGTCGTCCATCGTTCTCCAACATCTATACCCATCTGGGAAAGGCGGCTTCTGTTGACCCAAGACGTTGTCATCGACTCTTGCTACTAACTACGGAAGCATATACGTTGTATTTTACCTTGCCATATTTGAAATTTATGCTGCTACAATAACTTCAAGAGGGATAAAGCGAAACAAAATGACTCAACAATCATGAAAAAGAAACAAACTTCTATTCAGCTGCTATAAAGCCACAAGAGAATATCTGGCATGATTCCGGAGCCGTAGTGTGCTCCATAGTGTGCTGCTGTACCACGATCTCCTTTGGTGGCGCAGAAGCCATTGTGCTTGTCCCCAGTTCTTTGGACGGCGACGATGCCATTGTATTGACGCGGATATCTTCCGAATGCCCTGATGGTGCAGATGCCATCGCACTGACACGCATTTCTTCCGAAGGCGCGGATGCCATGGATTCCACTGGTGCAATGAGTCGTCCATCTGCTGGCTCGGGTTGCCTGTTTTCCGCTTCTATCGGTTGTCCTTGATTTATAAATTGTGCTGCTTTGCTTGATGGAGGCATGATGACACTCCCGCCTTTTCTTTCTTGGCTTAGTTCGAAGTCTAACACTTCACTTGGTATTTCCAGAGTGGCAGTGACTGCCTCGACTGGGAGCAGGCGTTGCTCGGCCATTTCAACATTTTGATAGCACCGATTTTCGACCTTGTCGAAAATCTCGGCAACCGTCTCCGTGTCGAGAGTAAGCATAATGGCAAAGACTTCGTCTCGGAAGGAAGCCCGGAAATCATCCCAGCTTTCTGTCAGAACTTCAGTACACTTGTCTCGTAGAGTCATGAAAAAGTAAGATTCCTTCTTTTCCAATCTACAGATGATCTGTAACAACTTGAGCGCATTCAAACAATCAAGCTGGTCCATGTCGTAAGTGCATATTATTTCTTCCAACAACGACTCATCGAGCTCGTGAATGAAAAAGTATTTGGCAATCAGTATTGGCACATGGTAGGATTCGGAAGCAGCGTTATCGATTGCTTCGGAGGAAATGATACGGCGGAAGATGCTTGGCTCCAAAACATTGAGCAATTCCGAATCAATGTCGATATCTTCGATGTTGGCAGCAACAAAGTCAATCACCATTGCCGTGATGCCTTTATCATTGAAAGAATCTGCATTTTCCAGATACTGAGGCACATTGTCCACACAGAGGTCTCTTTCGACAAATTCAATTATTTTCTGGTTGAGTGAATAGATCTGGAATGTTCTTGCGAGAAAACGAAGTGGCACAATGGTCTGTGTACAAATTTCAAGCATCTTGCCCTTGGAATAGATGAAATTCAACATGCGGGGAAACACTTGTGCAGCATCTTGGTCAAGAGAAACAGCTGTGCTACCCCTGGTGATAGATTGGTTGCGGTTTGATGAAAAGACGCTTGCGAAAAATGTACTCTTGTGGTCTCCAACGGCCAAAACGTGCTTGTGCACATAGTAGGCGTCAGAAGAGGACTTGGCTCCCGACTTTACTCGAATCACCCAGTCACTGTAACTCAAGTCAGGATCTAACTGCCAGCCAATAACTTCTGTCTCATCTTGACCCATGCTGAAAGTGTCGTCTTTTTCGATTTCATTTTCATTCACCCCTTCCCGATCTCCTTCAAGGTTTTGATGCTCTTGCCCCAACAACAACGTCGTTCTGCCTGTATTAACTTTTTCCAAGAAGTCGACCGAGAATGAGGATGGCAAATTTCGCAACAAAGCAAACAAGCGCTGTCGATCGTTCTCGTTCGTAATCTTCCAGTATGTGGCCATTGTAAGAGCGCATCTCTTCTGAAGTCCTTCAAATTCTACAGGAGACCCGTACGAAAAGCAAATTTCGAGAAGAGGAAGGGCGGCTTCACGAGCAATCTTGGGGAGAATAGTCGAAGAAGTGAGATTTCCAAACATAGCCTTGCTCATTTCGTGTTTGTGTAGCGCCGTGTACTCAGCTATGAGGATGCTCAGATGTTGACTCGTCTTTGTCCGATCTATCAGCGTGCATGAAACGGTATCGCGAAAGAGGTCGGGGTCCATTAGGATCCAAAGGGAGTCTAGCTCGCTAATGTGTTCAATTTTGGATGCACATTTCTCCGCCATTATCTTCCTCATGCCTAGATTCCCGTAGTTTTCCATGTCTGAGACATAAGACGTCATGTTTGATACCTGCATATCTTCGTGAATGAATCTCGTCGTAGCAGCGACTAATGCCTTGATCTTTAGCTCATAGCCAATCCATCTATAGACGACCACACTTGTTGTAGTGAACCCCAGTTCGGAATCATCACAATACATGAAATCGAGCACAGATGGAAAGACATCACACGACTTGCTGCAAAACAAGAAATGAGCCGAACTGGTGCTGTGTTGCTTGAACAAAGAGTCCAAATGTGCTGACTTTCGTCGTCCACATGCAAGCCTGTGTTTGTGAACATGATATGTGCTGCTCTTTCCATTCCCTTTATCTCGAATTTGAAGGATGAAGTCGGCGAGACTATCGATTGGATCCATTCTCCAAATGCGTTCATCAGTTTTCTTTACACTTTCTTTGGAATAATCAAAGCTTGCCTCGTCCTTGTAGCTGACAGACATATCGACAGAAGCATCACCATCAGGTGTGATAAATGCTCTTTTGGATTTCCGAAGAGACGGTGTCGATTTGTTTCCATGAGGGATGCTCAACATCTTTGAGGTTGCGCGAGACGGAGAAAACTTTCTGCCCTGTATCGAGTCAGTCAAGCTTGAAGACACATGAAGTATCACTTGATCACTTTCTGGAGGCTTTATCTCGACAACCACTTCGTTCTCAGTCTTGGAAATTGGAGTAATGGGTTGTATACGAGGCTCATGGCCCGAAACCCTAGTATTGGTGTCCATTGGCATGTCTCCATCAATTTTGCCTTTCTCACTTTTAGCATAGGGCCTTGCTGAATGTATAGAAGACTGGTGGTCATCAGCTCGCATCACTTTACAAGAAGGTTCTGCAGGAGATTCATTCGACTCATTATCTGGACATGCAATGCTCCTTGCGTCAATCGGTGGTTCGTCCCTACTTTCCTGTGCAATGGTACGTATACCATCAGAATTTGCACTCGATGTATGCGAAAGTAGAGTTGACATCTTTGAATACGTTCTCGCCACAGGCATTGATCCCTTTGATGTTGGCGGCTCATCTAGTGGGTAGCTCATCTTCTCTTCGACATACTCGAACACGTCAAGTGCTTGGAGGCGATCAATACTGAAATCCTCTTGAGAGTCAGAATCAAGGAGCGATTGAAGGGGCTCGGATTTTCTTCGCGACGAAGAAAGATAGTTTCTCTCTTCCGATGAAACCGTCGAGATCGTTTTGGGAGATGCCTTAGATCCCCTTTGCTGCTCTATAGGGAGGTTGGATCCTCTGGGCCCTGGCGGAAGCATCTGATTCATATCATCCAATGACTTGGTTAACTCGAGCGAATTGGGCTTCGTTGGCTCCGTATTAGTCATGGGTTGTTTCTTTCTATTTGGTGGAACGGGCGTCGATGCTTTGCTAGATAGTCCAGATGATTCTCTCTGTTCCTTTGACGAAATCGTTGTTGTCAACTCTGAGACGTTGCATGATGCTGACTCAAGTGTAATGTCAGCGTCATGAGGAAAGGGGAAACCAGAAGAAATACCGATGTTGCCAGCCGCTTCTGGTGTCCTAACGACCGATGATATTTGCTGGTTTTGTTTCATTGAGACTTTTGCTGTCGGGTTTGTGACAGTGCGTGGCGGTGGTGTCCTATCCACCGATGATATTTGCTTGTTTTGTTTCGGTGAGACTTTTGCTGTCGGCTTTGTGACACTAAGTGGCGGTGTATTCACCGAAGTTTCTTTCTTTTTGCTGCTTTCTGCAGAAGGGACCACTTCTGGTTCGGTCGCCACATCATTTTGGGCATCTCGGTCCTTAAGCCACTGTTTCAAGTACAGTACCCGTTCTTCCGTCCGCTGTCTAGCATCATCCGACGACACCGATTGTTGTTCGCCAACATTAATTTTCGTTTCATTTCTCTTGATGGATGCGGCAGGGGCTTGTATCCTCGTCCTACTAGACGAAAGTTTATCAGCATTCATGTTGGAGTGAGATGCGTCGTGAACTGTGACTATCGGAGATATAGTATGCGACGCCGAAACACTAGCTGTCTGTATCACTCCTCTCTCTGTCTTTTCATGCAATGGTGGATGTCCCAAACCGGTCCTGCTCCTGTCACCACTGTCTCCTCCATTGTTGGTGGACAACGACGACGTTCCGCCTGAAGCTTTTTCATCTTGTTCAAGCTCACGCTTCAGCTTTCGATATTTTCCCTCTCTACAATTGTGAGGTTTCGAGTTTTCCCTTGATGCTTCCTCTTCGAGGATGGACCTTCTAAGATCGTCTTTGTAGGAACCATCATCAATGCTAAAGCTGTTGGACATGACAGATGATATCATATCTGTTGACTCTTCTTCTTGTTTCGATCCCCTTCCACGATGAATCAGTGCTCTACCCCTTTTGATCAAGTTTTGTCGTTTGGAATAGCTCTGATGTAGCCTGGACCTTGACCTCGAAATTCGTGGCGACATGATCACATCCATTTCTGTGTCAGGTATTCGTGACGGATGCTGTCGTATTACTAAATGATGGTCGTGTCTTTCTGCATCGCCAAAGGAGGTTTCATACGGATCATCCATTGGTAGGAAGGAGTGAAGAGACTCTCGTGTCTGTCTCTCAAGATCCTCTTGGAAAATCTCTGCCATTGTCCCGTCGGTATGGTTGGTGCGTGTGTGGTGCTGCTACAGTAGTTGATGGATTGCCAAAGTGGAGGCAGTTTTGTGACGCAATAATAAGCTCGCCAACATCGCTCAACGGCGCGCCGGCCCGACAATATAGTGTGTCCGTCCTTCCTCCGACCACGATTACGTTTCGGTCTGACAGGTCATACCGTCCAAAAAAAGTTTCCCCTATCTTCGAAAAACCACGACCTGCCTGCACCAGCGGCGACAGTATCGTAGAAAAACAGTTCGGAAGAGACTCTTCGTCTTTCCATTGAAGTCCAGTAAAATAAATAATATAGTTACACCTACCCGCTGACAATGGTAAAGATAATGCGTAGGCTTTCCCTCACGGGAGGGACGAAAGAGCCAGCACGAAGCAAAGCAGTGGATGATTTGTTGGACAGAGATTTAGCTCTGGACCTTGAGATGAACTCCTCTGTGCGTTCCTTTGCTTCCAGTATTACCACTCCTGCTTCTCAGTCTGGAAGTTTTTACCATCGGGTTCAACATCAAAACGAAATTAGTGAAAAAGAGCGGACGTATGGTTATGAGGAAAATGGATTGACAGGAGATATGCCTGCGGATTGGGTGAGTGAATCTTCAGATGAGGACGCTGAGTCAACAAACAGTTGGGGTGGCTTTTCCAATAAGAATTCGGCCACTGATACCAATAGCGTTGGCAGTGGCGACGAAAAGGACTCTGTCAAATCCTCTCCAGTTATGACCCGAAAAAGCATCAAAAGCCGGAATGACAGCAAAAAGAAGAACAAGCAAAAGAAAAAGAAGAAACGTCTGAAAGACTTTTTTCGAAAGAGCGGTGTAAAAAATGAACCTATTACAGAAGTCGATGAGGGGGATTTGGTGACAGAATCAGAAGGTAAAGAAGGTTCCATGGCCCTTTTGCCCTTATCTGACCATGGTGGTCCAAGGAAAGGCTCAAGGGATAGTGAGATTGATAGCCAATCTGAACAACATTCAATAGCGCAGAGTCTGAATTCGAAACAAAGTAGCAAAAGTGGAAGGAGCAGAGGAAGCAGAAAGGGGAATAACAGGAAACTTTCACCTGGTAGTCGAGCTAGCAACTCGCCTAAGAACTCTCCCAAGACGTCAAAGGCTCGAAAGAAGAAAAACGGTCTCAATTCAAGTACACACAACAGTGTCAAGACTGGGAATTCAGCAAAGCCGAAGCAAGCGCGTCGTGGTTCCTTTGGAGCCCTCACTAGACGGATGTCTCTTGGTGGAAAATCGGATGATGGTGATGTTCAGTATGGCGAAAGTCAAGATGGTGGACAGAGCCGGACTATTAGGAGGGGTTCCCTTGGTGGAGGCACGGAGCCAGGAAATACATATGGTGGTGATTCAGAAAACCCTCATCGTATGGCACGTCGACGATCGTCGTTGGGTAGTATGTTGGAGAGTGTCGTTCGACGTGGGAGTCTGGGCGGCGGGAATGACACGAATGGTGACAAAAAACAGAAAGGTCCTGTGATCCCTGAAGACTACCACAATATCATTCATCGTGAGCGCGTGGCTCGTGGAATGTATTTGCTTCAACGCAATATTATATTAGATACGCTGGCCCAGGGGATCGCCAATGATTTGGCTGCTGGTCGTGCTCCAACACCTTGCGAGTTCTACGGCAATATCGGGAAGGGAACTTCCTTGAGCGTCATACATTCAAAGATTATGGAGGAACGAAAGGGAGTTTCTCGCAAGAACATTCTAAGCGAAAGGTTCACGTGTTTTGGGATGGGGCTTGCTATCGGGGGCGAAAAGAATGAGTCTATTTTCATGTGCACCCTGTTCCAGGAGTAAGACAATTTGATTTTAATAGTGCAACTACTAGTTCTATACATTCGAATGGATTTGTACAATATACGGTAGCGTTTAGATTGGGAACAGTTCTGATGGAGGTTGCTACAGGTATTGGGAACGAAAAGAATGAGTCTATTCTATTTTCATTCGCACCTTGTTTCGGAGTAAGATACTGTAATCTGATTTGATGTAAATTAGTGTTATACGGTTGAAATGGCTTTGTACAATATAGCGTATGGATTGGAAACAATTCTGATAGCAATCACATCCCCATGTGTGCGCTCTCTCAGAAATTGTAGTAGCATATCGTTTTTGCGTGTGTGCTTGTGATTGATGTGAGTGAATGAGAATTGGCGTTAGACAAACTACTAGGCAGCTGTTTTGGCCTTTTTGTTGGAAACAGCAGCAGCAGCAGCGCCAGCAGCAACAGCGTCAGCGGCAGTTTCATTAGTCGGAGAGGAACCCATTGTGTCTTGCAACCGACTGGGATCTTCGTCAGGATGATCCTTGTAGTAATCTACTAGCTCCGCCTAAATTTCAAAGAGAGAATGAAAGTGAAAAACGGCGTTGATGTTGAAAGAGACAAAGGGAACCCGAGTCGATTCTGTTGATTACCTTTGTCAGGAAGCGGCCTCCTGGACCTCTAGGGCGCTTCATCGCGTGTCTATGGCGAGACTCGTGCATGTAAGGTTTCTTGTCGTTCCGAGCTTTCATTTGAGCTTGTTTCCGTTGGTAGTATTCTTCGAGCTTGGCTCTAGCTTCTCGCCTCTTCAGAATCCTACGATATTGCTTCGCATTCACAAAGGTTGGGCGAGGAGCTGCCGCGTTCGAGGTATCAGCAGCAGCCGCAGCAACAACAACTTGATTTGCTGCACCCATAGCAGCAAAGGCGGCAGCATACATTTGTGACGCAGCTGCAGTTTGGTGATTCCAAATCATTTGAGCGGACGGGACTCCCCCTTGCGGAGCTTGAAGTGGGTGTGGCGCAGGTGCAGCTGGTGCACCAGGAATGTTTACACCAGGGTGTCCGTTATGTTGATGGCCGTGGTGTTGGGCACTTTGAGGATGTACCAGCTGGGCTGTAGCGGCTTGGTGAGATTGAGGAAGATGATGCAGTTGTTGTGCTACATGATGATGATTCATATGATTCATCTGTTGTTGTTGCGGTTGCGCCATTTGTGCCTGTTGTTGAGCCTGAGCATTCGCTGCCGTAATCATCTCTGAAAACGGCGCAAATGCTGGCGAAAAGGAGTTGTTTGACGTCTTTGAATTTGTTGCGAAACTACCCCTGTTCTCCTTAAGGTTTTCTGACATATACAGTAGTCGTCGCCAATGTGATTTCCGCGATTGTATTGAAAATGAGAAGATCTGATGCAAGGGAAATCAAACTCCAACTACAATGTGATTCGAAATTACTGATGTGATGTTTCAATTGCTAATTGCACTTCTCATGGGCACGTTGGGAATGCAACAACAAGCCATCAATCAACCCAAGAGAACAACGTTTGACAATTCACTTACGTGCAAGTACGTACGCGTAGTACAAAGCCACTTAACCAATCAACTTGAAACGCTTACGTGGTCAATTCGAATTGATCGACCAATGCGAAGTCGGATTGATCGACGAAGCTTTCGTTCGAATGGGTCAGCCACATTGCGTGCCAGCATGCATGCGAGTTCAAGGTACAGTACTACCTACCTATGTAGTTAGTTACTGGTATGTAGTTACCGATCTGTTTTTAAAAAAAAGTATGAAATCAGTCAGTGCAGTACAAGAAGTTTGTTGCTCCTTCGTCATAGGGTAAGCAAGAAGTGGTACAGGCTTTCTTCAATTAAATCGCAGCATCAGTGGGCGCAATACTATTAGTAGTTTATTCAGTCAAATCTTAGCTAGTGGCGCTTCAATCAAGTGGCCGATTCGATTCGATTGATCGATCGGCGAATGAATGATGCTGCCTGTTCAAATCGATTGAACAAATGTTTCAAAATTTTGAGATGAAAAGCTCCAATGCCACCACCACCTCCACTAGAGTGCACCCGGTGTCTTCACTATAGGCCAAGCGAAGTGGCAAGTCTAGTTCTTCTTTCCCTTCTTGTAGGAAACCCCCAATTCAGAAAGATTGCGGAACCCCCCGCTAATGTCTACGAACTTGGCGATGTTCTTCTTGAAAAGGTTGGTGCAGGAATTGACTGCCATAACAAAAGCTGGCTTTGGTTGCGTGGATGGTCCTCGAGTCTTCTTGGCCTTCTTTGTGATTGTTGCTTCAGCAGCTGGTGTTACAACTGCTGGAGTCTCCATCTTGCTCATCATTTGACGGTATTCCTCTGCGAAGGACAAAAAAAACCAAGGTGAGTTATGTTGATTCATTCTTTTAGAATGTGACAGAATGTTTTCATTCTTGGGTACATACCTTCTGAACAGTCTCCGAATTCATTGAGAGTGTAGAATTTTCCGTACTTGACGTCATGAGAGAATTGTTGCAACCAGTTCTTCTTGAATTGGGAATAACGGGTGATGTCAAAGTTCTTGTTGTAACGGGCCAACCATCTTCCGTATTCGTTGCGAACAACATTGTCATCAATACCTAGTTGGTTGGCGAGAGCAATGGTCTCAGCATCTTCGTTAGGGAAATTAGTCATGGGGCGGGTTGCCTCTGCGGCTGGGGAGGAAAGTTCCAATTCATCAAGGTAGGAGATGGCAAGGAAGCTGTTGGTGCGAGGGGTAGTAGATGGGACAACGAATCCGTAGCTGGGTAGAACCAAGGCTGTAGCAATAATGGCAGTAATCTTCATGCTTTTGTCTTTTTCTTTGTAAAGTTGTACTGGAATTCAATTTTCGATTTTGAAATTGTGATCGATTTCAGTTGTTTGTGAGCGATGATGTTTTGAGTGAGTCTTCTCCAAGCGAAGATGTCGTTATGGTGTTTCGACTTTTCTCGCCATTTTGAACATCAACGTCTTTGTGTGCGGGCTCGAATATTTATTGCTGAGCGTTAAAATACGGTTTGCGAAAGGCCGCGGTATTTTCAATCGTGATGTATGAGAAGCCTTGTGGTTTGAATTTTCAAACTACCTGACCTCTGCAGCAAGAACATCCCCAACCGTCGTCAATAGATGGCATCATTTGCTGCCCGCCTTCCACTACACATTTGTTACCAGGCGATCGAACATCGATGGCTACTTGATCGGGAAGAAGAAGCTTTATCCACGTGAGTCGATGTCAAATCCCGCTCCTCAGCACCAAGAACGACATCATGACCAGGCAGCACGATGTGGTCGTCGCTTGTTTTCTCTTAGTCTAACTCCGCAGAAGACATTTGGGAATGAATTACGATACTCTCATTTACTTTTGGATAATTTTGAGAGTTGAACACCAATAGTATCGGTCTTTCCATAGCTTCAAGCTCACATCTTGGGATTGGACTGTTGAAAAGCCGCGAGCAGTAGGCTAGTACTCCTCCTACTATCATCACCACGTAACTTCCATTGGCCAAAAGCAGAAGCTCGAGTCGCCATCAACATCACAATCAACGATATATACATCAGAAGAAGAATTTACGACTGTGGAACCCGATGAGATATCGTCTTTGTTAATCCAACAACAACTTGCAAGGTATCGTCGAAGTAAGGTGATCCAAGGAGAAGAGCTTCCAGATATTAGAGCTGCATCTCGCTTGCTAGATATCGCATCTGATTTTTCCTACATATTGCTAGGCTGTCGGTATCTACCTCTGCCAGCCCATACGGTAATGCAAATGACACACATGCTGGAAGACTGCCCAGATTGGAAGAGGAACGAATACTACCATGGACCTTCCCCATACACTGCCGGTAGGCACCTCCATGTTTCGAATAACAAGAATTTTCATTGGTGCTTGAGAAAGGAAAGTTGGCCGTAAAAGCCATTTCGGTCGCATTCCAAGAAATACTTTATATATATAATGAAACCACGTCGTCTCTTTTATCTTCTCTATATATCTTGATGCAAAAAAGAATGAATCAATGAATCAATCAACTCATTTCAACATCAACCAATCTCCAATCACTTTATCGCCATGCACTGTGTGCCCGTTGGCACTTTCATTCCTCACTCCACTCATTTCCGTCCTTTTGTTTGTTCTGCAAAATACAGTATTGGTAGTAGTAGTAGCAGTAGCTAGTCGGTAATTTTTGAACATATGCGCAAGTTTACTGATGCACTACTACCATACTATTGTATTACCACAAGCAACAAGACATTTACTCCTTCTTCTCTTCATCAACACTCTTGTTTCCAAGGAAGGAAAGGAAGACATTGTATCCAATTTGGATAGTGTTAATGTAAAGCAATCGTTGCGAAGGAGGAATGAAAGCAAAGTTGATAGTGTGTGCTGGGACCCAAACAGCCCAAGATCCCATGACGGCAGTTTGCAGATCTTGCTTGATTTTGCTGACGTAGTCGTCCATGGACTTGCCCTCGACAGCGTTTAGGTAACCAAAGAACATGCATCCAAAGATGGGGTTCCAGATGGTTTGGTCAATGGCGACCTTGGAGGCGACCGTGATGGGCTTGGTTCCAGGCATCTTGGAGTCCAAGAATCCGTAAAAGTAGTGTCCAGTGGTTCCGTGAATCAAGAAACCGAAGGATCCAAGACGGACAGTACGCATGATATCGTAGGGCTTGTCGCTGTCTTCGACAAAGTTTTGAGCCAAGATATCACCGGCTGTGAAACCGGTCAAGGAGGTCAAAGCCTTGGTCAAAAGAGGTTGTGCCTCCAACAATGCGTTGTAACGTGCCCAAAGTCCCATTTTTCGTTTACTTTATTGTGTAGATGGAGATTACTGGAATCAGAACATGAAGGAAGAAAGAGGATACGTGAGAAAATTCTGTCAAACGTGTTGCTTGCATCGCATCGTCATGATTGCAAAATGAGAAGATCCTGTCGTCATTCCAAGCCTCAACTTTTTAAAGTTCTAGGCACAAGGCCTTCTTTTCCTGTTGGGTACGAGGCATTCGAGTTCGCTCGAAGTCGAGGTTTTGGTGTGTATGCTGGAATCGTCATGTTCTTCTAACTAACTTGTGTGTCGTCGTCGTTTGGTTACACGATCACACCTCTTATCGACAACATGGAAAGCCTCAAATTTGTCATCTCCCAAACTGCAGTCTTTGATGCAAACCACATGCCATAGCCAAGGGATCCTCCACGTTGCCATTGTCAATAGTACTTACACCTTTTTTGTAATGACGAAACCAAACAAAAAAGTTGCTTCCCTTCGCTTCCCGCATCATCACTCTTTCGCATTTTTTCAAGAAAGAGAGTTCAACTTGGTATCTTGATTAACAGGTATTCTGGAATGACGTCAGCTCGATTGCAGTGTCCCCTACCAAAGGGTTTTGACGCATTCGTCATCTTTTGACGTTTGTTTTCTCAGTTGATTCGAAGTAGTCGGCAAGATCGTTCGGTCCGTCCTCTCTTCTTATCGTCAGTCCAAAGCCTCTTGCCCATCGCACGATCGTGCGAGAGTTCCTCTCCCTTCCCCTGGTTTCCCCTTTTCCTGTCGTGGTGGGCTGTGTACCCTCCTGCACCCATGCGATCTTCTCATTCATTCAATCATTCAATCATTTTCCTCTCCCACCAAAAACGCATTGTGTGATTGTGGAGAATTTTTTTTTCATGACGGTTCAAACGGAAGGAGAATCAGCTCCCGTGAGCTTCAACGACAGCGAAGAAGAAGAGGAAGAAGAAGATGCAGTTTCAGATGTTTCAGATGAGGAAGGTTCAGAAGACGACGAGGAGGACGATGAGGACGAAGGTGAATTGTACACATTGGATCATTATGATGAGGAAAACTTGCCGGAACATTCCTGTCGATACTGCGGCATTTACGATCAATCCTGCGTGGCACTCTGTGTGGAAACCAACAAGTGGTTCTGCAATGCTGCCGTAGGAAGTGGTGGATCCCACCTGGTACACCACTTGGTGAGAAGTAGATCACATCAAGTGCGATTGCACCCAGAGTCTCCTTTAGGCGACACTGTCTTGGAGTGTTACAACTGCGGAAGCAAAAATGTCTTTTTGCTGGGATTTGTGCCAGCCTCTAGTTCTTCCGTTGTGGTCCTTCTCTGCCGCGTCTGTGTCGAGACCGTTCCAGCACTCAAGGATATGGACTGGGAACTAGCTCAATGGCATCCCCTCATTCAAGATCGAAAGTTCCTCCCCTGGTTGGTAAAGGCGCCCTCGGATAAGCACTTGCTAAGGGCTCGTGATATTTCTCAAGCTCAAATGACCAAGATGGAGGAACTCTGGAAAAAGGAACCGGATGCTAGATTTGCGGACTTGGATCGACCAGAAGTTGCCGATGACGAGGAAATGGCACCCACACTCTTGCAGTACGAAGATGGATTTCATTATCAAAACGTTCTCGCACCACTCGTCAAGATTGAAGCCGACTACGATCGTCAAATCAAGGAAAGTCTTACCGAAGAATCCATTTCCGTTCGTTGGGACAAGTCCTTGGCTGGAAAGAATGTTGCTACCTTTGCCTTTCACCGCATGGCAGTGGAACAATCCAGAATCATGGTGGGGGACGAACTCCGACTCAAATTGGGAGAAGGTGCTCAATACCTATATGGCCGCAAGTGGGAAGGCGTTGGCTATGTCAAGGGTATTCAAGATGGTGACGTCGAACTCGAGCTCCGCACCTTGGGCAACGTTCCAGACCAAATTTTTGATGATTACATTGTGGAATACATTTGGAAATCAACGTCCTACGATCGCATGCAAAATGCAATGAAGACCTTTGCCATTGATGATACCAGTGTGACTGGCTACATTTACCACAAATTGCTCGGCCATCCAGTCGAAGATCAATGCATCGCTACGGCAAAGCTACCATCACCAAAGGAAGACTTTTCAGTTCCAGGGTTGCCGCCACTCAACGAGTCGCAGATTGAGGCAGTATCCACAGTCCTCCAAAGACCATTGAGTTTGATTCAAGGGCCGCCTGGAACTGGAAAGACAGTCACATCAGCGACGTTGGTGTATCATTTGACCAAGCAAAACATGGGGCAAGTCTTGGTCACAGCACCGTCCAACGTTGCAGTCGATCAATTGACCGAAAAGATTGCTTCCTCGGGTTTGCGTGTGGTGCGATTGGCTTCCAAGACTCGAGAGGCAACCAATTCTTCTGTGGATCACCTTTGTTTGCACATTATGGTCCCACAAGCCGCCGGAGACGAATTCAATAAGTTGCAGCGCCTCAAGGATGAAATTGGAGACTTGTCAGAGAGAGACCAAAAGAAGTACCGCTCGTTGAGAAACCGCACCGAGCGAGAAATTCTTCAGGCCGCTGATGTGATTTGTTGTACTTGTGTCGGTGCAGGAGATCCCCGTCTCAAAAACTTTCGATTCCGTCAAGTCTTGATTGATGAGGCCACTCAAGCTATTGAAGCCGAGGCGCTCATTCCAATTGCCATGGGAGCGAAGCAGGTGATATTTGTGGGAGATCACTGTCAATTGGGACCAGTTGTCATGTGCAAGGCAGCTGCAAAGGCAGGGCTCACCCAAAGTATGTTTGAACGTTTGGTGCTGGTCGGAAACCGTCCCATTCGGTTGCAAGTGCAGTATCGTATGCACCCAGCTCTTTCCGAATTTCCCTCCAACATGTTCTACGAAGGAAGTCTGCAAAATGGTGTCACCGAAACGGATCGTCAACTCCTGAATTTGCCAGGTTTCTCTGGAAAAGAGGACTTTCCATGGCCAGTCCCCAGCAAGCCCATGTTTTTCTATTCCATTTCTGGAATGGAAGAAATTTCAGCTTCGGGAACCTCCTACCTCAATCGAACCGAAGCGTCCTATGTGGAAAAAGTGGTAACCTACCTCTTGCGAATGGGAGTCACTCCAGCTCAAATTGGTGTCATTACACCGTATGATGGACAAAAGAAATATGTTTCGGAGTATATGCGTCGTTCAGGCATGTTGACCAGTGCGCTTTATGAGGCAATTGAAGTAGCTTCTGTCGATGCTTTTCAGGGTCGTGAGAAGGACTATATTTTGGTTTCTTGTGTCCGTTCCAGTGAGACGCAAGGTATTGGATTCTTGTCGGATCCTCGTCGTCTTAATGTGGCTTTGACTCGAGCTCGTTTGGGAATCATTTTGTTGGGTAACCCTCGTGTCTTGAGCAAAAATGCGCTCTGGGCAGCACTCTTGTTGCACTTTAAGGAGTACGATTGTCTAGTCGAAGGCCCATTGAACAACTTGCAGCCAAGTTTCATGACTTTTGCTAGACCTCGTCGCAATCCAGCCAGCGATTCACGATATGCCTTCACTGCACTTGCCCGAGGTGGCTGGGATGGCCGTTGGGAAGACCGCAGAGATGGGGGGAAGGATCAGCAGGTGGCCCGAGGCTTCAATGTGGGTGCTGGCAGACGTGGAAAGCGCAAGGATGGACAAGCAGATTCTCGCTTTGATTCACGATACAACAATGCTTCTGAAGGAAACAACAATGACAGCGATGTGAATTACAGTGGAAACGGCTTGCCCATTCCCAAATTTGCCCCACTACCAAGTTATGGAGATCACCCCGGGGACGATGCCAGTAGTGTCGGAGGCGATAGTGCTTTCAGTGGCTCACAATTTAGTGGAAGTATCAACACTAACCGCTATGCTGGAGGAAACGACCGTGGTCCAAATGTTGGATATTACGTGGGAGGCCCCTAGTTGTGTGGAATACATTCGAGAATGAATGAATCAAGCGACCGCTTTGCGTGTGGAAGTTGGGGGAATGGAATCCATTCATTTGGAAGTTGACCTACCTATTAAGTCAAGCCATACTACTTGTTGGTACTCCTTCTCCTTCTCCAATACTACAACAACAACAACTGACTTGGTCTATTTCCCAAATGGTGGGTGTTGAAATATATATTATGGTGGTACTCTGACCAGCGAATGACGTTTGATTATCGATTTGAAGCATTTTTGAGCTTTCCTACTTACTGGTGTTGCGTTGGGCTTTATTGATTGATTGATTGATTGATTGATTTCCCTGCAAGCATTGCAAATTGTTGCCAAGAACGAACATGTGTGCGTTCATCCTCTCTTGTTTCATGAATTGAGTGGCAATGATGATGATAATGGGAAAGATGCTATGATGATTATGATTTGATGACTTGTCATTTGCAGAGTATTCTAAAATATAGAAGAACTACTTCTACCTATACTAGGGTGTCCTTGCAGTAATTTTGCAAGCAGCTGTGTATCGATAGTAGGTTGGGTTGCGACAGATGATTGATTGATTGATTCATTCTGGTCCTAGCAGTTAATATGTATTGATCAATAAAGTTTAATTTTTTTAAAAGTATATGTATCATCATCATCTTGGAACAGGTAGGACATATATATAGAATGTAATACTAAGAGTACAGGGTGGGTACCAACCAAAGCAAACCACGACTACTACAAGTTCGCCGTGTCTTTGGTGTCGTAGGACCTCGCCCGCTTGGGAGCACACATGGTGTCCATCCAGCTGCCAAAGTCATTGCAGGCTTGGGGCGTTTGACAGCATTTGTTGTCATTCTTTTTGGATTGTTGGGACTGGTGCGATTGCGAAAACTCTTCTTCGTCGGCCGGTGGTAGTTCGTTCAATTCGTAATCGGATTGGACCGATTCCAACTCGACGTGTTGGTCGATGCGTCGGTCGCCACCAGCATTGCCGTCTCCTGCCGCCAAGGATTTGACGGGACGAGACCGGCGGGGCCTGGCAGTTTCCTTTCGGAATTTGTGTGTGAGCATCAAAACACCGATGCACAAGACCAAGACACCGGCACCAACACCTCCCATGAGGACGGGATCCATCCACCATTTGTCATCGTCTTCCGGAGCGCTTTCGGCATTCTTGTTGATTTGATCAAACGCACCACCACCATCGGTGTTGCCGCTAGTGTCGGTATTGGAGTTATCCGTGTTGTCGCTTTCATTATCGGTTGCATGCCCAGTGTTACCATCAGTGTTTCCACCAGTTTCGCCATTGGTGCTTCCGTTGTCTCCACCAGTGTTTCCACCAGTTTCCCCACCTGTGTTTCCACCAGTGTTGCCTCCGGTACTTCCACCAGTGTTTCCACCAGTGTTGCCTCCGGTACTTCCACCAGTGTTGCCACCAGTGCTTCCACCAGTGTTGCCACCAGTGCTTCCACCAGTGTTGCCACCAGTGCTTCCATCAGTGTTGCCACCAGTGCTTCCACCAGTGTTGCCACCAGTGCTTCCATCAGTGTTGCCACCAGTGCTTCCATCAGTGTCGCCTCCGGTATTTCCACCAGTATCGGATCCACTGTCTCCGCCAGTGTTTCCGCCAGTAGAACCACCAGTATCAGTGTTGTCGCCACCAGTAGATCCATTGTCTCCACCAGTATCAGTGCCACCAGTATCAGTTCCACCATTATCAGTACCACTATCAGTTCCACCAGTAGAATCACCACCAGTATTAATAGGAGGATTAGTTGGGGTAGGTGCAGGTGGTGGTGTCGAACTGGGAGCTCGTGTCGGAGATCGTGTGCGGGTGTAATCGTTACAGACACAGGCCGAAAAGGGATACGCATTAGTGGCATCGCAGACGAGGCCATTGCCCAAGACACGACAACAGCTAGTGGCTCCGGAACAAGCCTCGGGCGAGCATCCCTCTGCCAATTGAGCATAGCGGGCTTCAATGGAAATGTTGGTGACTTCGCTAAAGGGAACGCATGTTCGTCGTTCTTCGAGTTGGACAACGGATTCCATGGCTTGACGGGCAGGTCGTTCGCGGAGGGATGGTGTTTGTTGGGACAATCCTCGGGTGCGTGCATTGGCTGTGGATGTTGTGGACGCTAGCACTGCTAGGGCTAGCACGAAAATACTTCCATTGCGAGTGTACATTGTAGTTGTAGTCGTTATAGTTGTAGTTGTTGTTGTTGTTGTGTTTGATTGCTGATCTGATGAATGAATGAATCAATAAATGAATGAATCAATGAATCAAGCAATTGAATTAAAATTCTGATCTGTAACAGCGAGACAGTGAAGTGAAATATTTGTGGTCTGAGTCAAGTAACTTCACAAGCGAGTACTCGTCTCGTACTTGGTGGAGTATAATGTCAATGTACGATTAAAGGATGGACCCACAATCCCCTTGAATTGGCTTTTTCGTCGGTGTGACCAGACTCACTTGGTGGACTGTCACGGATCGAGCCGTTAGCGGGTCTTTTTCAAGCAGAGGGAGTGGCACCCAAAAAATTGGTGCTTAGCCGTTTGATGGCTGGCCTGGCGTTCCCTCCTTTGTTTACAGGCTCTACAAGACTGCCAACTTGTGTGTGGATCACAGGTTTCCAAGACTGCTTTTGACTGGTTCGAGTACAGTGATGTCAAACTGAAATAGTCCCAACTGACTGACTCACTTTCACTTTGCGGTCTCTTCTTGTTTTAAACACTACTGTAAGGACAACGAGAAACACTGATAGACATACATTGTCTACTATACAGAAATGAACACGTCGCAGAGTATCCTTTTGTTCGCTTTGATCATTGGCAGCACATGCTTTTATTCAGCGACAGCCTTTGTGCTACCACTCACAACACCCTCCAACATCATGATTCTTACGCAGCAACACCACCATGAACGACTCTTTTCTCAAAATAATCAAAATCAGCCACCAAATAACGACGAATCTTCTTCCTCTTTATTGGAACGCTTCACCAAACCAGTCATCGATGATCCCTGGTTGCCCTTGACCGAAGCCGGGTTGGCCCAAGTGGTGGCACCCTCCCTGCAACTCTTTTGGTTGGCGGCCCTCCAATCTCCCTTTCCATCCTGGGCCAATCCCTTGTTTAGCAGTGGCATTTTGTGGAATCAATTGCCCCGGGGATCCTTCTTGGCGCCGACCCTCATTCATGGGGCGGGATTGGCCTGCTGTTGGATTCTGGGAGCCTTGGCCTCGAAAGGGTACGAACGCAAGGCTTTTGCCGGAGATGCTGGAACTGTGCTATTGCAAACAGCCAAGGCCGGTGCCTTTTCGGTAGGCTTGCTGATATTGGCCACCCAATGGGATTTGTATACAGAGCTTGGGGGATACGTTCAAGTGGGAGATTCCGTAGAGACCGACATTCGAATATACCGTGCCTTGGTGGAAGGCATCAATGACTGCTTTTTTGAAGGCATTGTGCTACTGGGCTGGAGATTCTATCGAAGTGCAGCGGCCAATTATCCTCTGCCATAATAATAGTAGTATGAAATAGTACCTATATATAGTAATATATTATAAGAATACTACCGTGGTGTGTTATGATATAGTACGATATAATACATGGTAGATACAAACAAAATACTGGCAGGCTTGGTTACATTACTGTATTGCCACGTACCACCATAAGTACTTTTGTTGTGTTTCTATCTGACTGATGCGAGAATACTAGTATACTACAATGACAAACAAAGAATACTCGTGTGCCGAAATCAAATCAGGTATACGGTGATAATAACTCTTTTCATTAATTTACAATACCGGTATTTGGAGCGCAGAACAATGGAAGGATTCGTCGAAAGATTGGTTGTAGAAAGTGCGTGTACAAGACCTACCAGCCTAAAAGGTTGGCTCCCCACCATCGGAACTATTACCATCGTCATCATCACTGGCGTAATAATTCGTAATGTAATCATCCACTTCTTCCGCTTCATTGTCCTCCTCTGGGAGATTCAACTCGTCCGCCATGTCCGCATCGTCATCCGCGTTCTCTTTTTTGCTTTCGGCTGCCTGCCGACGCTGTGTCAATTCGTTTTGGGCCATTTCCTCCAAGGTCATTTTCTTGGTGGCGACACCCTCGTCGTCGCCACGACCCAACGCCCGATCCTTGGTCAAGAGCTCGGGTGGGAAATAGAGAGGATCCCCTAGTTTCCCAACTTGAGAGAGGAAATATACATCCGGTTCCATTGGTCTCTGTCGCTTGCCGTATCGATTCACGTCTACTTCTTGGGTGGGCCGCACATAGTTGGGAGAGTTCTGAAAGCGATGCTGTATGTCCCTCGACTTGCGAATCAAGTAGTTTAGCGAGGAAGTCTTTTGCTGTTCCGCTCGACTATTGGTAACGATTGGAGGTTGGTTCAGTTGTCTTCCCGACGAATGCCACTCGTAGTCCGGAAAAAGAGCAGGTTTGGTAATGTCTGAAATGGCCTTGAGACTGGAGGAACCAAGTCCGGCTTCTTGGGCGGATCGTTGCAAGAGCAAACGGGCTCCCGAAGGCGGTGCGCCACGGCCTCGTCCGCGTCCGCGTCCTCTTCCTGACATTCTATAGTTTAGTTTGTTACTTTACAGAGTGTGGTGCTGTTGATGGAGCTTTGTATGTCTTTGTGTGTGTGTGCGTGCGTAGGAAAGCAAGCTGAAAGCAATCAAAGTGGTTGGGCGTTTGATATGTATACTGCATTATTGTGCTCTCACGTTTGATGCAATGTTTGGATGGATTCCGTAGAGTCGGCTCAGTCGACTGAGATCATTGAATATCTTTCACTAATATTTTGGAAGAACGATTCAGCCAACGAATACATTGATACATTGATGATGTGTATCCTTCAACGGACAGAAAGAAGGTGTATCTTTCTTGGACCAGAGACAAAGGATCGTCACTTTGTCTCTGGATGGATCTTGAGAATAATGCCAAAGTTTCAAACAAGAGTACGGATTCCATGTTTTCGTCGTTATCTCCTCATTCTTGGAAGCATGGCGTTGGTGGTAGTGGTAGAAACAACAACAAGAACAAACCAGCTGCTACTGTTGCTGTTGAAAAACGACAACAGTCGGTAGTAGCAGTAACAGCAGTGGAAGACGAAGAACCCCAAGTACCCATGGTCCGCATTGGTGTGCTCTCACGATCCAGCAGCACTACCAATACTACTACTCCAAGAACCCAATCATCGATCATGGTACCTCCTCCTTCCCGCGTTCCATCTACCCGAGTTTCCGATTTGTCCATTGAGACCATTCGTCAGTCCTTGAGAGAAATGGAAGTCCAATTGGTGATTGCCCAAAACACGGTGGCTGCGGAAACGAGGGCGGAATACGATTTCAACGACGAGACTCACCACAGCAGTCATCCTTTGTCCAAAGTCTCCAAGCCACCACATTACCGCATCAAAGACGACTATGACGACGACGACGACGACTATGGCGATAATAAGGAGAATGATCAACCTAATTCTACAAATCAAGACATTAAGCGAGTACTCGATGACTTGCAGTGGGCAGGTAAGTGAAAAGGTAAAACACCACCTCACGTGGACTTTTTACAGTCACGTGTTCTCACATGCTGCTGCCTTTTTCATGCATTCTGGTATTTTATTAGAGTTTGTAACCTTTCGTAGCCCCAAGAAACCAACTCACAAACGCAGTAAGAGTCAATCTGGCAATACCACTGCCTTGTGCATTAAGAGTACAGGGAGAAATAGTCATCCAGAACGCCAAGGGCGATCGTGGTGGCGCAAACATCCTATTGACAATGAAACTAACCACAGGGTTGGACAATAAACTACTGCTTAGTACTTTAAATTGAAACAAGCTATTCTCTAACAGCCAGCGAAGCAATTGCCTCGCCAATAGACTATTTCGAACAACCACCAAAAAGTGCTAGCATGTAGCGAATTTCTGTTTCCCCAGACAACATATACATATGTACTGTGAGCTCAATAAAATCAACTGCTCCTTCAAAACGGCATAGAAGGAGTTTCAAACCATGGCCCGAATATCCCCATATCCTAGCTGGAAATCAAGGACTTATTTCCTGTCGTCACCATCAAGAGGGTGATAGTTGTAATGATGTTCAGGCATTTCGTACTCGTCCTCGCCATCAAAGGTGGCTGTAGTGGCAGTATCATCTAGAGGGTGAAAGTTGTAATGGTGTTCAGGCATTTCGTACTCGTCTGCATCGGCATCTACTCCATCAGTCTTATCGTAGTTGTGATGATGCTCGGGCATCACGTACTCATCTTCATCCTCGTCAGAATCCTTTTCATAGTTGTAATGATGTTCAGGCATTTCGTACTCATCCTCACCATCAAAGGTAGCTGTGGTGGCAGTATCATCTAGAGGGTGAAAGTTGTGATGGTGTTCAGGCATTTCGTACTCGTCTGCATCAGCATCTGCTTCATCACTCTTATCGTAGTTGTGATGATGTTCGGGCATCACGTACTCATCTTCATCCTCGTCTCCGTCAGCCGCATCTCGAGGTCCAAAGTTGTAATGATGTTCGGGCATTTCGTACTCATCTTCATCCTCGTCTCCATCAGCAGCATCTCGAGGACCAAAGTTGTAGTGGTGTTCGGGCATTTCGTACTCATCACCATCAAATTTAGCACCATCATCTAGAGGGTGAATGTTTGATTGGCGAGCAATGTTCAAATCGGGGGTATCCTCTTCATCAACGCCAGCTCTACCGTGAACGGGTGCGACATAGTGATCAGATTGGTACATGCGACCTCCCTTTCCTTTTCCACCCTTGCCACTACTACTACTTCCACCCTTGCCTTTTCCGCCCTTTCCTCCTTTGCCGCTACTACTACTACTGCTTCCCCCCTTGCCTTTGCCACCTTTACCCTTTCCAGCGGGAACGTGAGCCATAGTGGGTGGGTGAGTGGGTGGGTGCGTTGGAGGATGAGTCGGATGGGGAGTTGGATGCATTGATGGCATGTGAACCATGCCCTTGCCTCCTCCTTTACCACTTCCCTTTCCCTTTCCACTTCCTTTACCACTACTACTACTACTACTACTACTACTACTTCCCTTTCCTTTACCCATTCGTTTGTTACTCTTGCTGCATGATTTCTTGCTTCCTTTGCCACCCTTGCCCTTGCCACCCTTGCCACTGTCGGCACAGTCATCAGGTACATGAACAGGCATATGGACGGGCATGTGAGCGCTGTTAGTTGGTGCATGAACGGGCATGTGAGCACTGTTAGTGGGCATATGGACAGGCATGTGTCCACTGTTGGTTGGAGAATGAACCGGCATGTGGGCACTATTGGTTGGTGGATGAACAGGCATATGTCCACTGTTTGTAGGCATATGTCCACTGATAGCACCAGTATGTCCAGCCTGAACTCTAACATCAGTACGCGACAAATGGTTGAAATACAGCTGAGGCGATCCGTTCAGTTTACGACCTTCGCGAGCTTCAAAGAACTCGGAAAGCTTGTCATCTTTCTCTTCCAGCTTGGCCCCAAGACTAAATGAGACCAAACTGATCAACAGGATCACAAGCGACAGCTTGTGTGTCGAGACCATCATGGCAAAGTGTTGGTGCCGAATATGGTATTGTGACGGGAGAGCTGCTGTTGTCACACTGCGTTCAAAATCCCGTTGTTTGGTTTCGAAAGACGCGTGCCACACGGTTTGAATCCGAAAATTTACATAATTGGAGCCGTCGGCACGTCCTCTTTGACAACGGCCCGCTGGATTGAAAAATCCCTCGTCCGTTGTTCGTCCCTATCAACGGAAGTCTTGTCGTGTGGGAGAAATTTTACTTCCCGCTTCCGTCCGTCCATCAACAGTGCTAGATTGAGCCTCGTCCTTCTTTCATCAGGAAGGCGAACATGATGAGACATCGCGACATCTCACGAGACACACTTCAAGTTTGCTTCCCGAACCCCGCGCTTCGAAGAACAGCCTTCTGGTTGCTCAAAAAAAACGAAAGTGATTTCCTACCGGCAGTAAAAGTTTAGGTAGTTGGAAGACATACAAAATCTGTTGGTCCTTACTTCTTTATGCTACAAATCATTACAGAGCCTGAGAATAGACTTCTAATGAGCTCAGATGATGACGACTCCAAGCCTTCCTCATCGGCATGTTGTGAAAAGGTTTCAACAGACAAGAAAGGCGAGCAAAATATCATGAAAGGAAACACCTCTTCTTCTAGTTTCTCGGAGAAATCTTCCCACACTGAGATAAAGACTCCATTGAATGCGCCTCAAACTGTAGCTACTGCATCCACTACCAATGCAACTGCACCCCCAACTGCACCCCAAGCTGCTATTCCATTGCGCCGAGACAACTCGTCGTCTCTGTCACAAGAAGCCCTCGAGAAAAAGACATTTCTCATCTTTGTGAAAATACTCTTCAAGCTGCTCAAGGAGCATCAAGGAGACGAAATCACCACCAAGGCAAAGCGGGTGGTGATGGAATGTAGACGGCACAACCAACAGAACCATCCTGCCTTTACGCCTCTCATGGAGGCTCTCGAACGCCACCTCCGGCGCTTTGTGGGGGAGAAGCTATGGGGACGGGCGCACTCGTACTTGCATCATTATCTTGGTAAGGAACAAGAACAGCAAGCAGCCATGGGGAAGATTGAGCCTAGACCATTGGTAATGGTTGCCCCAGGCTAGTGTTAACAATGCATATAATACTATCATAAATAATGTATACAGTAGGATAGAAAATCTAAACATTTATCTGATGTTGTTGTCATATTTCGAAAACTTGATTGCGAAAATTTTGATACGCTTTACGCAACCAACATAAAATTCGGTTGCGCTATTTCCAACAAGAACCATATTGTGGATTGCATCAACAATAGCTATCCACTTCGAGGTTCAGCTAGCTACAGTATTCTTCCATGAACTCTCCGCCATCCTACGATTGCCGGCAAATGATGATGCTAAGGGATGCAATGTTCCGGAATTTTCCTTCTATGACCTCAGGTTTTTTTGTCCCGTCTCTGCAATATACGAACAAGAAGGCTGACCCTACCAGCCATGCTGTTTCACATCGTTCGATTATGGAGTTGTCTATATGCTACCGATTGTTCATGATGTATTGATGAGCCTTATTGCGGGGTACTCGTTTGCCTTCCACGAGCAGTGTAGTGTTGGGTGATTGATTCATTCGTCTTACTTGGAGCTCATCCAAATGGCATAGAAGGAACTATACTTTGGCGGAACCATCTTACCCAACACACCCCAATTTGGTACTGTTGTAAAAAGTAAAGCATCGGAACAGTCTTGAAATGGTTATTTATTCATTGTAGTTTTTATTCTCTCGAATTATTATGATTATTTCTTTCCAAGATACCGATCCGATTGCGCCTTTCGACTAATAGAAGGTCGAGCTCCCTTTTTAGAAGAAGCTTGTTCCTGTTGTTTCTTCCACCAAGGAGTGGCAGCTCCAGAAGTCGCTTGATGTTTTTTCATCAAATTCTTTGTGGCCAAATCCGTATTCGAATCAGAAGAATCGTCATCACTGTCCGAGTCGGAACCCACGACCATGGCTTTCATGGACATTGTGCGGGAGTTTCCGAAAGCTGTGACTCGTCGTTTCGGACTGATTGGCATTCTATCCTTCTTGGGGGTCTTTTCACTTGAGGGGCGTTCCTCAATGTCAGAATCGTCGGAAGAAGATTGCAAAAAGTCAGCGGCGGTCAACTTCTTTTCTTTCTTTTCCTTCTTGTCTTTCTTCTTTTTCTTTCCTTTTCGTCGTTCTCTCTTTGGAGTGGCCTTTGGAGGGGGCTGTGCAAGATCCGAATCGCTAGTATTTCGTCGAGGCGTCTTGGGTGCTTCGTCCGAAGTCTTCTTCAGCGTCCGAGGTGATTTCGAAGTCGATTTGGTCCTCTTCTTACTGCCTTTTCGGCCGGGTGACTTGGAAGTTTTGGGAGTCTTTGGAGATTTGGGAGATTTGGGTGATTTGGGCACCTTCGGGCTTTTTGGAGACAAGGAGCGGTGTCTCTGTGGCGGTGTGGTAACGACAGAAGCTGGAGGAGGTGGTGGCGCTGGGGAATTCTCTTCCGCTTTGTCTTCCGATGGTGGTGGTGGCGGTGGAGCCTCCTCTTCAACTTTTTCTTCAACGGATGCAACTGCTTTGGATTCCCCTGTAGATTGCATGGAGTCCTGCAAGGAATCCGAGCTGTTCACACTAGCTGTATCGCTAGCCTTTTCAACCTTGGCAATGGGTGACGTAGCTGCTTCCTCCAGTTCGGAGCGCATGGATTCTTCTTTTAGTGATGTGTCCAGTTTTTCTGTTTCCTCTTCAACAATCACGGCCTCTTTCGATTTCACCTCTGGTCTGCTCGGCGTTAGGGATTCTTGTACAGAGATCATCGTGTCTGTGCCATCGGACGTGTATCGTTGAGGAGGCATCGGTCCTGGTGTGTTTTGTTCGCCAAACAGGATAGAGTCGTCCAAGGTCTCGGCGTCATCGTCTAAAAACCACCTATCTTTTTCTTCCTGGGTAAGTGGTGGCGCGGCCTCTTCCTTGTCCTCCACTTGCGGTTCCACAATGCCCTTGGCCTCTTTCTCTTTCTTCTCGGTTCGTCGTTCGGTAATTTGTCGAACCAATTCTTCTTGTGCCTTGATATTCTCTTTCAACTCGACAACGGCTTCGGAGTTCATGACGTGAATGTCATCCACCATGTCCTTATCGTCCAGTTGCTTGGCAGGCTGCAAACCTTCCAACTTGCCTTTCGCTTCCACCACCTTTTGAATATTCCAGGATCGAGTCGGTAATTTGGGTTTGACGTCCGACTTTTGTGTCGTGACCGTCCCAGCATGACTTTGGTCGGCACCGAGAGACTCATCGTCCATGGCCCCCACCAAGTTCCGAATCTGACCAAACAATTGTTGGCTGTGAACTGACACTTCCTTCTCCCCCTCGTCTTCCTGGTCAATGTCCCAGACTCGACGGACATTCCACATCACATCCTCTTCATGTTCCCCCGACAAGGCAGTGATCCAGACATCTGGTCGTGTTCGTCTTGAGTCTTCGACAAATTCCTTGCTATCGCCCAATTCTTCCGAGTATTCGGTGCCACTATTATGTTCGTCTCCATCACTGAATTCGGAATGGCGACGGCGGGGTGGCAATCCTGGGGTTGAATCCATATTTCTTGCGGGAAGATTGGGTGCCCCGTCCGGTTGCACGAGTTCCACAGTGGAAGCAAATCGATTGTCTGCCTTGTAGGCATCTAAGTTCAAATTGGTGGGCCCATCATATCGAATTCGATAGGAAGTCCGTTGTGCTGGTGGCAATGTTTTTGCAATTTCTTCAAAGGACTCCTCGTCCGACGAAAAGTCATCCGTCAAATAGTCATCTTCCGAAAAGCCACTTCCGACGGAAATAGCCGAGACATTACCTCCCCGACAGGCTTCGTAGCCCCTGACCTTGATAACGGGTGGCCAAATGGGAAAGTTTTCGACATTTCGAGACGCAAACCGTTTGCGGGGCACCCTGTCGCACACAAATTCTCGGACGGGTCCCTTGCCAAAGTTTACAGGCATATCAAAATCCTCACTAGGCTCTCTATCGTCATCATCCTCGTCTTCGTCATTCAAATCAACGTCTTCATCTTCATACTCCTCGTTGTAATCCTCTGCTTCGTCATTGTCATGGTCATCTTCTTCCTCCTCCTCATCCTCTTCCACTGGTACGGCAAGAACTGGTTCCTTTTCAGTTCGTTTCTTGGATGCCCATCGATCCGGCAAGGGTTCCACGGATGCCTTGCTATCACGACTGCTGCTACTCCATCGACTCGCCTTGCTAGTGTTGGATTTGACGGATGAACCACTTGACATGGGCACAAAACTCTTGATCGAATTAAAGGGCGCCTGTATCTTGTAAATTTTGCTGCCTCGGACAAAGCTTCGTACTGATTTTGCCGACTTGTCGTCGTCGCCGTCACCACTACTTTTGGGTGATTTCTTTGGGAATGCAGGGGAGGCAGCGCCAATAGCATCATTGTTATTCTTGCTATGTAAATTGGGAGGCGTCAATGGATTGGGCAAGTCTGCGGAAAGGCGAGACGGCGATAGTTTTCCCTTGCCACCGTGCCATGACATGGGTGCCTTCAAGCTGCTGGCGACGGACGAAGCGGAAGAACTCCAACGACTGCTGCCCAAGGATGGCATCACGTTTTTGCTCTTGATACGGCTTGGCGAATGCGTGGTTCGAGGAGGATGGTGCTGTTCAGATGCAATGGTGCGACTGGAGCGTTGTATCTGAGCATCTTTGGCCATCCAACTCCTTCTTGCTTGATCGGCCATGGATTGATTCCCCACAGAAGCATCGTCATCGCAATCCGTTTCATCGTGCGTATGCGAGGTTGCGGATTCCCGTTTCTTGCCATTCTTCATTGATTTCATGGTGGTCACAGGACTCCTCATCGTTGTATTTTGTAGAGGTGATGAGTTTTTGGTGTGACTTTGACTGAGACTATTGTAGCAATCGAAATACCGTTTCACTTTGGAATGTGAATGCCAATCGCCACACGTCTCAAATAAAGTGTTGTAAGCACGAAAGGATAAGCCCTACCTGTCCAGTACCGGTACTGGTAGTGTATTTTCGGTCTTCTGTTGGAAATCAAAAGGCCCGTCACTGGGACTTGAGAGCTCGTTTGCTGTTGGTCGGTCCAACGATTGGTTTTATAAAATCGATAGGGAAATGGGCGTTCGCCTATATATATTTAAGATCACTCAAATTACCTAAAAAGAAATACTCGTGAGAGAACCCATGACCATTAATCGTTTTCAATTTCAGGTGTTTTTAAAGAGGCGCTGAGAGACTTTTTAGACTTTCTTGCAACAGCGCTTGACCAATTACACTTTGCGAAACATCGAAATGGGAAACGTCCCTTTCGCAGTGATAAAAAATACCTCGCAGAATAATAATATGAAAATTTTGCATTGTTTTGAATATGGAATTGAAAGTTTTCATTTCTATATTCCAGACCATCCCGCGTGCAGGAACCATTCACATGAGTTCACGTCTACCGGGTACCACCCAAACACTAATAACTGGCTTTACTTTTGCAATACTGTTGCAGCTGAATAATACAGCATTATCAGCCTTCTTTTTGTGTATACTATAGTTTCAAAATTATCATAAGTATGCCTTCCGTGTGGTATGATGTGAATTTTATTACTCGTCTCGATAGGAAATGGGCATGGCCAAATCCTGTCCTGATCGAGCGGCTTCTCCTACCACACTTGCCCTCAGAATTTTTGGATTGGCTACTTGATTCGAGTGGTCTTCGTTCTTAAAAGGGGTAAACGTAATGGGTGCCGCCAGGTCCATTCCTTCTCTCGCCATTTGTCCAACTTCACTGGCTTGGAGACGGGCTTGATTGGCCACAGCATTCGAATGGTCTTGGTTCTTAAAGGGAGTAAAGGTAATGGGAGCAGCCAAGTTTTCTCCAGTCTTGACGGCATCGCCCACCAAAGTTTTGCGCAAAATGCTTGGATTTGCCACGAAATTGGAATGATCTTCATTCTTGTAGGGAGTAAAGGTAATGGGAGCGGCTAAATTGCCGTCGGTCTTCATGGCGTCCCCAAAGCCAGTCTTTTTAAGTGTGTGGCCTCCCTTGGCCCAGGCGGGCTTTTCCCACAACTCCTTCTCTCCTTCTTCTACCATTCTATTCTATTCTTTCGAATATAGAGGGTTTGGATTGTTGTTTGGGAAGGGTTGGTTCCGCTATCGCTGTGGGGGGTTCTCCTGCTCGTCGTCGTGTACTTTTTTCGTGTTGTGTTGTGTCGTCGTGCCTAATTTTTCCGGTCTTTTTGTCGTTGCTCGATGCTCGATGCCCCGCCACTAATTTGAGTCGAATTGAACAAACGAAACACTTCGAACTTCTTTTGCGGAGGAATGACGATTCTTTGTGACTTTCAATAAGTGACTAAGTTGACGTGGTTGATCAGATTCAAAAGAACTGGATTTTCGACTTCGGACCGGCCAACTCTATTGGGCTAAGATCAATCATCCGTTGCGCGGTAATAGTCCTTCCCTCGCTCAATCCCGCCTTTTTGTGGATCTTGCCGAAAGTGAAGTGTTTTCCATACCAGTATATAAAAAAAGAAGCACACTCACACACGAAACAACAGTCAGTCCATACCAGAATCAGTCACTCCAATCAATACAATCAATACACACATTCCAGCAGCAACTGATTGCATCGATAACACAACAGGGTACTACACGTCTCTTACAACCAATCTACACAAGCAAACGTACAATTTACAGCAAATCCAATCGAACTCCGAATCGAAATGGAAGCAGGCACCCCCCAAGCCGGAATTCTATGGTCCTGCATTGCACGCAACGACATTATCGTGGCCGAAGCTCACGGAATCCACGATGAGAGAGTCCAGCACATTAGCCAAGAATTGATGCGAAAAAAGCCAACGCCAGGCTGGGAATTTTACAACAACAAGTCCTTTTCGGCCCGTCTCAAGGGACTCAAGTTTCACATTTACGAGCACGTCGAAGACAGTGAATTTGAAGATGCTACCGAATTTCGTATTTGGGTAGTGGGAGCCGTTTACGATCCGGCCTTTATAGAAACCCAACAAGCCAAGTCCTTTATTGAAAAGATTGTAGGTATTTCGCAAGTCTTTCGAGAACACGATATGAACTGGCAGAGAGGGTCACAGTATTGTGCCCAACCCAGTTTTGGACCCATTTTGGATCAGCGCATGCAAGAAGTGAGCTATTTGGGTAAGGTGGCCATGGTAGAACAAGAAATTCAAAGTCTCAAACAGATCATGGCCGAGAACATTGACATGATTTTGGATCGGGGGGATAAGATTGATCGGTTGCAAGAGGAATCCAAACAATTGAATGAAATGACGGCTGTATTCAAGAAGAATTCCAAAAAGCTCAAGAAGAAAATGATGTGGCAAAATGCCAAATACGGCATGGTGGTGGGAACAGCTGTCACGGTCGGTGTGGCAGCCGTGACAATTCCAATTGTGGCACTTTAGCTTAGGACTAGTCATCATGATGTATTACGACGTATGTGATTAAAAGTTGGATTACAATGTAACAATAGCAAGAATATTCATAAAAAGGAACCTACCTACCGTATTAGAGTTACACTTGGGCCAAAGTAGAGGTACAGCATTCATTCGTTCGTTCATTCAAAATGGGCCTTTCTTAGTGTTTACCGCGTTTTAGTACAAACGATTTTCCGAGCACAACCAACAATACCGGTACATAACCAAACAACCAAACAACACGTCTGCTAACATATTGTAGTATTGCTACAGTAGGACTCTCGAGTACAATATAGCTTGTGTGCAGAAAAGAATGTCGGGGTTGTCAGGATGGAAGAGCACCTTGGAGTTGGAACCCACGCAAAACAAGGTTGCTGCTCTTCTAATCCAAAAAAAGATCAAACGGCGGAGGAACTTGCAACGTCCTGTGGAGAAGCGGGGAGACTTTGGGAAACGGATGAGCAGTCGAATAGGAGATGCGCCAAACCTCATGTCCGTGGTGACCGCCAAATCCTCCATCAAACAGAGAGCAGTGAAAGAAGCGGGTGAACGAGATCGCAAAAATACGAAAAAGAAACTAGCAGGACGAAGGAAAATTGTCAAACGACATCCAATCAAACAACGAGACAATCAATGGACGAAGGCATTGACTGGCCAACATGTCAACTCTGTTTCCAAAAAGGTTGCAGCCAAACCCACAAAGCGTCGCTCGGCATCTCCACGCAAACCAAGCAGCATAAAGTCGATGTCTAGCAGCAATTCCTGGACCAAACCAACATCTGGCCATTCCACTGGCGATGATTCTACAATTAATAATACAAAGAAAAGAGGCACCAAAAAGAAGAAAAAGAAACTTCCCAAAGTTAAAACCATTCCGACCTTGGCTTCTCAAATATCCGATGAGAAGGCCAAAGAAAAGGAAACCCAATCGCCCAAGGACGAATACGCAAGTATGGATCAATCTGGACATCGATCGAATGACAACAAGTCTTATACGCTGGACCAATCCGGACATTCCAAAGAAAGCTCTTTGAACGACAGTCAAAGTCTCCAAAATAGCAAACAAATTCTGTTGGAATTTGAATTACCGGACCAACAAGGAACTGGCCTGCAGCTATCGGTGGACCTCGAGACTGTGGGAGACATGTCGTCCATCGAATCTTGGCCGTCCATTGAATCCGAAGATTCGTATGATACCCGCATGAATAAAATGATGCAACGATGGATGGATCTGAATGGCGAATTTGATGCCCCTCCAGAAGAAGAAGAAGAAGAAGAAAAGGCTTGCGAGGAGGCGGACGGTTTGGAGGATAATGTTCTGGATCATATCGTTCTGGCATCTCCCAATATGGCAGAAGCATTGGACAAATTTGAGGAAATGTCGGGTGTACGACCAGTAATCATGGGACCATTGGAGGGGCTGGGTGTCCAAACAGCACACGTGGGGATGGACAAGGGTAGATACATTGAGATCATTGCTCCGGATGACGAGAATCCAGGACCTCTTGGTAAAGAACTCAAGGCTCTTCCAGCTGGAAGATTGATTCCATATCAATACGCAATCCGAGCGACGGAGATTAGCAGATTGATTGAAGGGTATGTCTACGATGTCCTTGGGTGGGATCCAGATCATATCTGTATGGCGCAGACGCTTCCAGACGGCACCCCTCGCCAATGGGATCTTCTCACCATGTACGGTCACAATATTGGAGGCGCAGCGCCCATTTATGTAAAGTATCCAGACCCATCGGAGCATCCGACAAGAAAACTGGATCCTACCATTACCTTCAAAAAGTTTACGGTCCAAGCCGACCAAGATCATCGCGTCCACAAGTTAATCACGGATGTGTCGGGAATCGACATTGAATACGCACAGACTCCAGCACTGGAGTTTTCCTTTGATACTCCAAAGGGTGGTCTAGCACTTTCTGCCAACTATCCACCAGGTTTGGTCTTTCCAGGTTACAATGCTGCGGATTCCAAAAAGAGCAGCAAGGGCAAGAAGAAATCCAGTACTACTACTAGAAAGTCTGTACTTCAAAGCATTCCGTCAAAGTGAGGAATGAATGAATACATGAATGAATACATGAATGAATACATAGATACATGGATACATGAATGAATGCATGCATGCATGTATCGACATTGTTGTACTGTATTGGAGGACCCACTGTTACTTTCATTACTACACAAGTTGAGTGACGCAACAGCAGGGTGTGATTATCAGAGTATCTGTCATACAGTATGACTGATCATCATCCCTACTGTTTTCTGGTGGGAATGCAATAAGAGTAGTATCTGATACAAACGAGTAAGCTAAAATAGCTAGCTAACGAACAAGTAATCGATGATGATTCTAGTTTCCAATTGGTTGTCGGAGCTATGGGTCAATACCA